GTGTTACCTACTCTTTCTTGATCCAAACCCTGCCTCCCTGCCCCAACCTAAAGAACAATTATTTTGCGTACACCTTGTATTTTCATATCTCTTTATGTGTTATTTACTTTAGTAAAATGTAAACACTTTAAGAGAAGGCATGATTTTATTTTTGGTATATATATTTCCAAGGCCTAACACAGAGCACCTAAGCACATAGCTGTTGCTTAAAAATGCTTGTTGAATTACATTGAATCTATTATCTCAAATATCCCGTAGTTTCAATTATTTCATATGTAAGTGTTTTATCAATTAATCAACAACCAGCAAGTATTTCTCAAGTTCCTATTATGTACCAGACATAGTTCTAGGGTCTAGAGTACAAGAAGAAAGGATGAAACAATTCCTGCTCAGCTCTTAACAATTAGATTGCTCCAGGAGAAATGAGCTGAGTCAGGAGAAAGGAGCTGAAGCGTGGTTCTGCAGCTAACTTACTATATAACTTACTTCTCTGTGGGCAAAGTCATAACTAGCATTTTTTGTGCCCCAGGCAAATGTTCATAAAGATGATCCAGGCAAGCAGCATAGTATCAGCTTTTAAAGATGAATTCAGTTAGGTTTGAGTGGGAGGTGACACAAGCCCTGGGACACTGGCTTTCATGAGCAGAGACCCCCAAAATAAAACAAGATTGATTGGAAGGGTTTTTTTTTTTTGAGGGAGGGAGGCAGGAAATAGCTGCCAGGAGGAGGAAGTTAGTGCTATCTAATAGCTTCTTATTTTATTTTTTTCCAATTTTTAAACATTTTTATTTAAAGTTCTGAGTTCCAAATTTTAGCGCTCCCTGAGCCAGTAAGCAGTCAGATATAGGTTATACATGTGCAATTATGTAAAACATTTTCATTTTAGTCATTTTATACAGTAGCTTCCTATTTTAACTAATTATTCTTGCTTAGACCAGAGTTTAAATCCTGCCTCAGACATATTCTGGTGGTATGACCCTGGGCAAGTCACTTAACTTCTTTTAGGTTCAGTTTCCTCTTCTCTAAAATGGAGATAATAATAGCATCTACCTTCCAGAGCTGTTGTAAGGATTAAATGAGTTAAATATATATATATATATATACATATATATGTATATATATATGTATATATATGTATATATATATATATACATATATATACATATATATATGTATATATATATGTATATATATATATATATGAATGCTTTGCAAACTTTAAAGTGTCATACTATTATTATTAGTGCTAATTAGGTTCTGAGAGAGGTGAGGTGGATAGCCTTTGAATAAGGCAGAACTCTCCTGACACATTACTATTGGCCCTGTGACTATTTCAACCCTAAGTACCCCAGGTCTTAGTAAGCCGAAAATGACTGAGCTGTTACTAATACGCTTTGGGTAGAGCAAGCAGGAGTTTCTGACTTCAAAGAAATGCATCAGCAAAAACTAAACCTCAAAAAAACCCCCAAAACCCAACCCCAAAACTTTAGGTTTTAAGCTCAGTTGTTTCTGTGCTTCTGAAAGACTGAATTTGAGCATCTTGGGGCACCCATTACAGTGCCCTGGTAATGGCCCTGACTGTCAGCCTGTGTTGGTCCTCTTTTGGTCCAGAACTTCAGCTCTAACCATCAATGAATTTTTAAGTAGATTAAGGCAAGGATTTCATTTTATAATTCTCTACTTATCTCATATATTTAAGAAAACAATCAGATAACTAGGCTGGGTCAGCCTATAAAAAATAACAGGGTCCTATCTCCCCAGCCCTAGAGTCAGGAAGACTCATCTTCCTGAGTTCAAATCTGGCCTCAGACGTTTACTATCTGTGTGACCCTGGACAATTCACTTAATTCTGTTTGCCTCAGTTTTCTCATCTGTAAAATGAGCTGGAGAAGGAAATGGCAAACTGCTTCAGTATCTTTGCCAAGAAAACACCAAATGGGGTCACAGAGAGCTGAATATAACTGAAAATGACTGAACAATAACAGCAGTCTCTCAGACATGTTAACTGATGAGTCCAGAATTTGAGAGTTCCATCTCCTCCCGCTTCTACCTCCCACCTTATCTCATTCTTTGAGGAAGAAAGGACACAACTTGTAGGTTGTGATGGGACAGTGGTTGATTTACTGGACCACAGACCAAGAGGGGGGACTCTAAGCCTATTTCCTGTGCTCTCCCCACTAGATATAAACAGCTAGAAAGCCTTTAGCCAGGAAAAGAGGACTATGCACAGGCAGTTGGGATAGGCTGACTATAAATTGAGGGGCCCTCTCTGAGTCAGAATAGAGGTAGTCAGCCCCTAAGATTACAGATCTGAAGCTGGAAGGCATTTTAAAAGTCCTCTGTTTCGATCCCCCCCACTTTACAGATGAGGAAACTGAGGCCCAGAGATGTTAAGAGTCTTGCCTTATCACATGGGTAGGAAGTACCATGGTTAGGATTTGAACTTAGGTCCCCTATAACTCCAAGTTCACAGTTCTTTCCATCCTACAGCCTCCAGCAGAAGATTCTGGCAAACTTAACATCTCAGAGAGAAAAGAGTTAATGAGAAAAATCTCAGACAGATCTCTCTGCCCACGACCCAGAATGGACCCAGAAGAGAGCAGCTCTTTAGCTGGGTTGAGAACCTGGATATCCAAATCAGTTTAACCCCACGAACCTAATGGCCCTCTGAACCAGGGGGAAGGTATCAGGTCATCTCCTTTCTTCCCGGGCTCTGAGCCTCATTTATGGAACCCTTCTCTCAGTTCTGTACTTCACTGGATGGGACCCATATCTATATCCAAAAGCTGAGAATCAATAAGAATTCCCTAAGGAGAAGATAGAGGGCAGTGTAGAATGCAGGCAGTTATAGGCAGTGTAACCAAAATTCCATTAATATCTGTTTTTACTGTGTTTTTTTAAAAATTAATTAATTAATTTTTAGTTTTCAACATCCACTTTTATAAAATTTTGAGTTCTAAATTTTCCCCCTCCTTCCCTTCTCCTCTTCCCAAGACAGCATTCAATTTGATACAGGCTATACACGTACAATCATATTAAACATATCTTATTGTTTTTTTTAATGTTTCACTTTCTCCCTCTAATAGTGGTTCCTTAAAACAGATTTTCCTGAGATGAGAATAAAGAAATGACCCAGAGACTTCCAGAACCTTTTCAACTTTTCTTCCACTTTTTGACAGCCTCTAGTACTTATCGCAGTGCCTAGCACAAAAGCTTATTGACTGATTGACATTACATTTAAGATTGGATTGTTTCTATGTATTGATTAATTTTGTCTTTCCCCTACCCTCTTCTTCCTCTTTTTCTTTTTTCAAATTATTTGTAGTAAAGGATGTCCCTCTGGGAGAGGGAAAGGGGAGGAATACCTAAGCAATGTAAAAAAAAGATATTAAATGGGTATTTTAATTTTTTGTTTTTTAAATTATGGTCCTGGGTTGGACACCACCCTCTGTCCTAAGCCTGGGATAAGAGGATATTCATCTCCATCCGAAATCCCTACACTGTGGAATGTGAAGCGATGGAAAGCAAATTGGCTGGAGTGTCAGGGGACCTGGGGTTCGGACCTACCTCTGGCACTACCCATGTGACCTTGAGCAAGCCCCTTCATACCTCTTGGCCTCAGTTGCCTCATTTGTAAAACGAGGGGTTGGACTAAGTAGCCTCTACGTCTCTTTCGGCGCTAAAGCTATGATTGTATGATTTTTCAGGGATCATCGGATTCCTATGCCCGGGCTTGGCAGCGACATACTTCTTAGGGATCTCCAAGCATGATTCCAGGTAAGAGTTCATTTCTAGGGGGCAGCTAGGTGGCTCAGTAGATAGAGAGCTGGCTCTGCAAGTCAGGAAGATCTGAGTTCAAATCCAGTCTCAGACACATAGCTATGTGATCCTGAGCATGTCACTTAACCCCAACTTCCTAAAAAAAAAGTTCATTTCTGCCACTCTGAGAGTAAGGAAGGAGGTTCAATAATATCTATTGATTAGCAAGGCAACGAGACCCATATCCAGAGCCATTTGGCCCGAAATTCCCAAGCGCCTAAGTGACAGAGGTTGGAATCGAACCTCAGCTCAAGCTCCCAAACTCCCCACTACCGATACGCCCTAGGACCGAGCGTGTGTTCAGTGACTTAGAGTAGAGCCTGGGGCGGGGCGAGAGGCTGTTTAACTCTTGGTTAGGTGCCCAGAGGCGGGGGGGGGGGCGGCGGGGAGAGGAGGCAGGGGAGCAATCTTTTGGGGCCCTACAGCTGGAGATCTGGGAGGGGCTTAAGTTAGAGTTCATCCATTCTCTCCCAGTTGACAGTTTAGGAGACTAAAGCTCAGAAAAGGAAGTGACTTACCCAAGGTTATCTAGCTAGTAAAATAACAGAGCTAGAATTCAAACACAGGTCCTGGGACTCCAGGCTCAGGGCTATTTGCCCTACATTGCCCTTTCCCCCTGAGTGCCTGAAGACAGGCCACCTTAGTCTTCCTGCTCTTGGTTCTAGTCTCTCTTTGAAGTCCAACTCTTCCTATTTTTAAAGTATGGGACCCTGATGTCACCAGCTGTCAGGGTTCTGCTAGAACAGAACTTCCAGTTCCCTGAAGACCTGGGTTCAAATTCTGCTTCAGTAGCTCCTGGACAAGTCATTAAGCTACTTTGTGCCTCAGTTTCTTTATCCGTAAAACAGAAGAGTTTGGATTCAATAGCCTTGTAAGGTCCCTTCTAGATTCTTTGCATGTGTGTGTCCCAAATCCTCTCACCCTCCCTCCTTGGGAAGGATGGAAATATCGAAGTAGGGAGGGAAAAGGTGAGGGAGCTATTCAACCTTTTTTTCCGTAGCCCTTTAAGTACCCGTCCTCTCCCCGAAGCCTGGTAGGAGAGTGGATATGACGAGATAGTCCGAAGTCCTTGCTCATCGCCCCTTTAAGAGATTCCCTAAATACCAAGGGAAGGTTTCGGGGCTCAACCCGCCTCCTTCCCCTCCTCCCCTTTCAGCTCCTTTCTCAAAGCTGGGAAGCCAGTTGCTGGCCATGCCCAGCCTAGCCTCACCACTCGGGTTGCTAGATTCTGTCCCTCCGCCCATTATTCCCGCTGAAGGCCCCCACCCCCGCCCAACGCGCGCCCCCTCTCTTTTCCTAGGAGGCATTGCCACTTTAAGAGCGAGGAGAGATTGACAAGCTCGAAGAGCCGCGGAGAAGAGAGGCTGAGCCGGAGCTGCCGGGAGCCAAGGACTCCCCGGGGCGCAGGTAGGCGTTGTCCTCCCCTCTGCCCTTTCCTTAGCCCTGGGCCCTTGTACACAGTGCTAGGGCTCTGTCCTTTTCTCTGTCCTAGTGCATACTTGAGATGCACAAGATGAGACTCTAGTCAAGGGGGCTCTGGCACCCCGCTCATGCCACCCCCTCCCCATACCGACAGCCCACCGCCCGTCATCCATCTGGCCCCTCCTAGAGGAATCTTCTACCCCAGACCCTTTCTTTGCTCAGGGCTCCCTGAGAAGGACAGAGAATATAAGGAGAGGGCTGACATCCCTTGTGAGCCCTCCTCCCTCAGTCTGGCCGTCTTCCTGTTGATCCTCCTTGCCTAGGACTCCAGAGGGAAGGGGATATGGGGGGTGGCACCGGGAGACCTCCCCTACCCACCATGCGAAGGGCTCTGAGGTGACGTCAAGAGGCACGGGTGTTGGGGAGCTGACATCTGAGTGGCATCTGGGGCACTGGGTACCCCATAAATGCTATTCCAATCAGGAGTGTCAGTACATTACGTTACATAAGGGTGGCTTTGCCCCATCTACCCCGCCCTCCCCAATCCACCCCATCTCCCAGGCTCGGGGGAGAGCAGAGCTTGATGGAGGATGGAAGGCAAGGGATAGAGAGCTCTTTGGGTCCCCTTGGTACCTTGTGTCCTCCAGCGAGGACGACGCTGAAGGGGCACGTTTGCCTCCCGGCGCTTTTGGGGTTGGGGGATTGATTGATCTTTACTGGGAGCAGAGCTGGGAGATGGGGAGGCTATTCGCAATTACTTGGAATAGGATGACCAAGGAAGGTAGGAGGGGGGGAACAGGGACCCAGGATTGGGGGATGCTGAAGGGATACTGAGGCGGGGGAGGACTACACTGTGACCTCATCGGTCCTTCTCCCTCAGGCACTCAAGATGCTGTTTCTTTTTATCGTGCACAACACTCGCACCCCCTTCCCAGGTCCTAGTGCCGGGAGTGTTTGGAGGTTGGAGGAGTGGGGGGAGCAGTAGAAATGGGAAGGAGAGGGGGGCGGAGGAACCTGGCGTCCAGTCTGTCCTTTTGACAGTGGTAGCCAAGCCCTCAGCCTATGTGACCTCGATCAGTTCAGCTTCTCTTTGATCTCGGTTATCCACTGAAGTGAGGGCGGGTATAGTAAGGTCTTTCTTTTCTCTGAGTACCCTCTCCCCTTCCAACTCCCCTCCTCCCATTCAGAGAGTAGCAATCAGAAGATTTAAAAGGATCAGTTATTACTCCACACTTCCATTTTTACAGATAAGGCAACTGAGTCCTTTACAAAATGTATAGGGACCTGGGAAGATGGAGGAGGTGGGGGTGGGGGTGGGTTCAGGGTAATGCTTATCTCTCTCTGTTACAGGGAATTCTCAGGAAATCACTTGTAGTTGAGACTTCTGAGACCCTATCCTATCTCATCTTTCCTGGGGCTTTAGCATCCCAAACCTGTTAATTTCCAGTGCCTGAAGCATTGGTGGTGGTGGTGGTGGTGGTGGTGGTGGTAGGACAGGGTTTTGATGCTGGGAGGTGTGGCTATAGACTGGGGAGAAGGTGGAAGAGGGCACCTGTGCCTGACTTTCTCTAGAATGTGGAAAGCATTTTCCCAGCTTAGAGACCCAAGACTTTGGCACTGGACCAGGCTGACTGGCTGAACTGGCACTGAGGTTTCTGCTTTACCACAACCCTCACTCCACTCCCTTGGGAGGGCTGGGGCTGAACTGCGGGGTGGGCAGACGGGAAGGAAGAGAAGGGGGAATTGAAATCGTGGGAAACAGCCTTCCACTCAGAACGGATCCAGGACTTGATGGGGCTAGGCCAGATAATGCAGGAGCATGGGCTAAAAAGCTCTCTTCTCACCCCCTGCCCACCCTTAGCACACATGCCTTTTGAGGAGGGAGTTATCTTGAGTTACCTTTGTATTGGGCTGGCCCATCTCTAATCAGGCACCACCAACTGGCGGGGCACTGGGGAGGTGAAGAAAATTCCAGTGGGAAAGTAGAACCAGGAAGAAAGGGTTATCTGCATTGTACTGCGAAGGCGGGGACAGTGTCTGGCATTCAGCCTGCTGAAATGAGGTCTCCCGAGATCCCTCCCAGGCTGAGTATTAGCTTGAGAGCCCTTCTTTCCCTGGACCTTCTCTCCAACCATGCTCTTGGATTCCTGGGAGCAGAGAGGGGCTAAAGAGAGGGGTTTTCACCCCTCCTCCTGATTTCCTTACACTGCCCAGCTGAGCACAGGACCAGCTCAAGCCCAGAGAGGTCCACTCTTTTGGGGGTGGAGGAGAAGAGAGCCGGAGTGACCAGATAAGTCTCTGAAAAGATTCTTTTTTGGGGTGGGGAGAGCATTAAAGTTCAAGCATATCTCTTCTCCTTCTCTCCAGGACACAGAACACACTGGGCATCATGCCTCACAGTGGGCATTGCCAACAGGCTTCTGAGCTTCTCTCTCTCCTGTGGGCCCCCCCCCATTCCCTCACCCTGTCTGTATGAGCCACAGGCTCCTGTTGCCATGACAACTGGGAATTAGAGTTTTATCTGGCAGCCCAACCCCTCCCTTAGAGCTTTGGTGGGGGAAGGGAAGATGATCACTGGGTATACTGTTCCCATTCTCTTCTGCCCTAGGGGAGGTGTGGGTGCCTAAATTCTCCCCTTCTCTACCCCTGTCCCAAGTCCTTTGAATTTTTTAAAAAAATCCTCTGGCACAGGGTGAGCACAGGCCCTAGACTGTGGGCACCAGCCAGGGAGGGCATCAAAGGGAATCTGGTAACTTCAGGTTTCATAGATGACTATGACTCTACCTGCTTTGACTCTTCACTTGGTATCACTCTATTTCTGTTAGAGTTTATAGAGGGCTTTGAGATCTTCGAAAGGACCCTGGAAAGGGAGTAGACAAAGATGCCTCTGTGGTAGAAAAGTTTACTTTTGTGACAGTGGGAGGGGAGTAGGTTTGCTCCCAGCTGCCCTTTCAAGGGCCACAGAGAAAATTTATCTTAATTGGATCATAGATTTAGATCCAGAAAGAGCTTTAGGGCCCATCTGGGCCAACCTCTTCATTTTACAGATCAGAAAACTGAGGTGCAGAAATTTGCTCAAGATCACACAGGTAGTAAGTAGCAGAAGCAAGACTCAGATCTAGGTTCTCTGATGCCAAATCCAGAGCTGTCTCAGATCTAGGTTCCCTGATGTCAAATCCTGAACTGTCTCAGATCTAGGTTCCCTGATGCCAAATCCTGAACTGTCTCAGATCTAGGTTCCCTGATGCCAAATCCAGAGCTGCCTCAGATCTAGTTTCTCTGATGCCAAATCCAGAATGTCTCAGATCTAGGTTCTGATGTCAAATCCTGAACTGTCTCAGATCTAGGTTCCTGATGCCAAATCCTGAACTGTCTCAGATCTAGGTTCCCTGATGCCAAATCCTGAACTGCCTCAGATCTAGTTTCTCTGATGCCAAATCCAGAACTGTCTCAGATCTAGTTCTCTGATGCCAAATCCAGAACTGTCTCAGATCTAGGTTCCCTGATGCCAAATGCAGAACTGTTTTCTTCGCACCATATTGTCACACTGACTTGCAGTCTTAGTTCACCTTCAGGCTCCCTTCATACCCTCCCCAACCACGTTCCCTTCTTTTCCCCACAGACGGACAGGGTTTGAGATTCTTCTCTAGGGCAGTGCATCCTGCTTCCTATCCCTAGCACATCTCTCCTCTGTCTCTTATTGCATCATGGCTGCTCTTGGGGGTCCTGGGCTAGAGTAGCAAGAGAGGGGAGTGATGAGTGGCAGACATCCTGGGTACCAGTAGACCTATCAGAAGCTCAAAAGCTTCCCATTATAAAAATGCCTTGTCCCTCCCTTTCCTTTTACTCCAGCCCCTCCTTTTTCTTGATCTCGTCTCTCTCTCCACAGGAGAACTGCCTGACAACCACAGCTGTCCTCATCATGCCAGTTGCTGCTACCAACTCTGAGTCTGGTAAGGGGGGGAGGGTGTCCCTTCAGTTAGGACTCCCCTTTTGTGGCCATGGAGGGCATGAACAGTGGGTGCAAAGGGGATAAGGAAGTCCCCCACCTAACGGTGTCCAGAATTTGGAGACTAGTGGTAGCCAGGCAACCACTTGGGCAGAACATAGGTGCCTATGAGAAGTGGCACCGAGGAAAGGTAACAGTCTCCCCAGAGCCAGCCTGGGGCATCTCATGTTGTTGTTATTGTTGTTGTTTATGTTTAGTCATTTTAGTCATGTCTGACTCTTTGTGACCTCATTTGAGGTTTTATTTGGCAAAGATACTAGAGTGGTTGCCATTTCCTTCTCCAGCTCATTTTACAGATGAGGAAACTGAGGCAAACAGGGTGAAGTGACTTGTCTAGAGTCATACAGCTAGTAGTTTGCCATTTCTTTCTCCAGCTTATCTTACAGATGAGGAAACTGAGGCAAACAGGGTGAAGTGACTTGTCCAGGGTCATACAGCTAGTAAATGTCTGAGGCTAGATTTGAACTCAGCTCTTCCTGATGCTGGGCTGGGTGTTCTATCCACGGGGCCACCTCGCTGCTCAGGTGGTGTGTTAGGGGGATTTAGGCCACTGGTCTTTCTTCCCCCAGGAAAGGGCAGATTCAAATCTTCTCCCCAGACTCACTTATTCATTCACTCAGTATTTATTCCATTGCCCTATACTATAAGATAGACAAAGATTCATCAAGTAATTCAATACATTCAACAAACAAGTATTTACTGTATGAAAAACACTGAGAAGGAGAGACAGATCCCCTGTCTTTGGACCACTTTCAGACTAGAAAGGGAGATAAGGTGTATACAAAGATAAATATGATACAGAATGAAATATGACAAGTACTGCAGGGAGATACAAAAAGGCATGAGAGATCCATGAGAATCCCTTCCAGCCAGGAGGATTAGGGAAGGCTTCCTGAAAGCAATAGCATTTGAACCTCAGGGGCCTCAGGACGAATGGGATTTCAAAAGATGGTGGACAGGTTGAGGAGAGGGTCCAGGGAACATAAACCCATGGAGGAAGGAAAGCATGGTCCAGGGGTAGGGAACCTTTGGCCTTGAGGTCATACGTGGCCTCAGGGCTGAAGATTCCCTACTCTTGGCATGGTCCATGCTCTGAGAACAGTGAATAGGAATGTCAAGTTCTTGAAGCAGAAGACTATGAGATTAACCTAAAAAGGGAAACTAGAATCAAATGTTGGAGAGCCTTGAATGCTAGTCTAAGAGTTTGAACTTTATCTGCGACCAATATGGAACTGTTGAAAGCTTTTGAACAAGGGAGTGATGGGATCCATGTTTTAGAAAGAATTTTTCATTTAGTCATGTCTGACCCTGTTTGGGATTTTCTTGGCAAAGATACTGGAGTGGTTTGCCATTTCCTTCTCTAGCTCATCTTATAGATGAGGAACTGAGGCAAACAGAGTTAAGTGACTTGCCCAGGGTCACACAGCTAGTAAGTATCTAAGGCCAGATTTGAACTCAGGTCTTCCTGACTCTAAGCCTGGCACTCTATCCACTGCACCATGTAGCTGCCTTCTAGGAAGAATCCTCTGGTATTAGTATTGAGGATAGATTGAGGGTGAGAGAGACTTGAGGTGGGGACATTGGTTATTCTAATGTGGTAAAACACAGTCCTTCTTTTCAAGGATCTTCTAATCCAGTAGGGGAGATAAAATAGTTTCTATAACTACAATACAAGGTCTGTGTGGTAAATGCCCTATGAGCGATAGAGACCTTAGAGAGAGACAGAGACAGAGACAGAGAAAGACAGAGAGAGACAGAGAGAGACAGAGAGGCAGAGAAGGAGAGAGACAGAGAGACAGAGACACACACACAGAGAAAGAGAGACAGACAGAAAGAGACAGAGGGACAGACAGAGAGTCAAAGAGACACAGAGAGAGACAGAGAGACAGAGACATGGGGGTGAAGGAGGGAGACAGAGAGAGACAGAGAGAGGGAGAGAGAGAGAGAGAAAAGGGAAAGGGGGGAGGGGAGAGAGATCCTCACTGAGGTGGTCAAGAAGAGCATTAGGGAAGAAGGAGGGTTTGGGCTGGATCTTGAAATCTGGGTAGTTAGTCAACTAGTATTTATTAAATGTCTACTATGTACAAGGCATTGTGCTAAGAGGTAGGGCTACAAAGAAAGGCAAAAATCAATCCCTGTCCCAGGAGTTCATTGTCCAAGGTGGGGCTTTTGTCCAGGGGATTGTGGTGGACAGGGCATTCTAGATAGAGGGAAGGCCATGAGCAAAGCTCTGAGGTGAGACAGTGGAGATACTGTCTAGCACAGAGGCCTCCTGTGGAGTAGGTGAAGTTGGAGAAGTGCTTTGGGTCCATGTTGCAGACCTGAATCCCAGGGTAGAGGATTTGGGGGCTAGGAAGGACCAAGCAGGGAAGTGAGTGGCTCAGGCATATAAACCACACACAGCTCAGATAATGACAAGACCTACTACTACCTTCCTGCTCTTATGGGGGATTCACCTGCTTTAGTGGCACCACTCAGGAGTCCACCTAATCACTCTTCTCTCACCCACCCACCCAATAGCTCTGTAAGTCCCTGCTGCCAAAGGTTACCCTGTGCATAGTATAAAAAATGGGGAAATTACCTCCCTCTCCCCCTACCTCATTACTAACAGGCTTGAGTGAGGTTGAAGTACGTGACTGTGATACTGCTCACTTAGCCATGCACGTACATCATAACAGGTAGCACTTCAAGGTTCACAAAGCGCTTAATGTGTATCATCTCATTTGATTCTCATAACATCCATGAGAAATACTATTAGCATCTCCATTTTACAGATAGTAAAACTGAGGCTATGAAAAGCTAAGTGACTTTAACTCTGCCTCTGGACCAACTTTAACCTGGTCTATGTAACCAGGGTCACATAGCTGGTAAGTGTCTAAGGCAGAATTTGAATTCAGGTCTTTTTGATTATCAAGTCTAGTGGTCTCTCCCCTGGACCACCTGGCTGCCTCATTTCGGCTTTCGAGCTCTGACCCTTTGATTCCAAGCCTTATATAGAGATTTTCTCTTCTTGGATACAGATCTTGGGCCTCCCCTCTTCCCTGTCCATACTAGGATTGGTGCCCTCTCTCTGCCACTGAATGCAGTAGTTTAGACTGTGTCCTTGTGCCTCAGGAATCACACTGCCTCACCCACTTGGGTGCCTCTCGGTTCTGCGGCCATGGTACTCCTTGCCTCCCTCTCGGTGCCTTTGAGGGCCCTTCTGTAAGCTGCTTACGGGCTAATTAAACCCATCCTCCTGAGCTGATGATTAAGGACGGTAATCCTGGACCATCCAGTAAATCCATTAATGGCATGGGGAGAAGAGGGTGGGGGGGTCATGGCCAGGGTGGGTTGTGGGCACGCCAGAGGCCTTTATCTCTGCCCAGTGAAGCTAAGGCAGACTGAGGACCAGTATTGTGCAGTAGGGGTATGGCAGAGCTGGAGAGGAGCAGACCATAGAGCCGGGAGAAGGGGTTGTAGAAAACTCCATTACTTCCCCAAACACCTCCCATAGAGAGACTTCTTCAGGGTTCCTAGAGCAAGGTCTTAGGATGGGGGACTTCCGGCTCTGTCCATTGGTCTTGGGTTAGAGGGAAAGAGGAGAAAGGGACATTTAGGAGAAAGTGTGAACTCCTCTCTCTGGGTCTCTGCCTTGAAACCAGTGCTATCTGGGGAGTCCTTTCTTTACCTGGAATCCTAGACTAATGGTGCCATGGTGGTGGTGAGATCCCAGGATCCCAGATGTAGGACTGAAAGGGACCTTAGAGGTCAGTTAGTCCAAACTCCTCATTTTGCAGATAATTCAACTGAGGTCCAGGGTGGTTGATAGACTTGCCCAGGATCAGACAAGTAGTAATAGTGCTAAAATTTGAACTCAAATCTCGTGACTCCGAACCCAACACCTTTCTGCTATGCCTCTCACCCTCAACAGTTTGCCTTACCCATTTGAATCACAGGATTTAGAGCAAGAAGGGACCTTTATTCTCGTTGAGTCATTTCAGTTGTGTCTGACTCTTCGGAACCCGATTTTGGGTTTTCTTTTTTTCTTACTTTTTTTTTTCTTCGGCTAGGCAATGGGGTTAAGTGACTTGCCTAGGGTTGCATAGCTTTAAGTGTCTGAGGCCAGATTTGAACTTAGGTCCTCCTGACCCTAAGCCCAGAGCTCTATCCACTGTGCCACCTAGCTGCCCCACTGTATTTTTCACTGCAGGCTTATTAGAAATAACTTGGGGGCCGGGCAGTGGAGTTGGGGTCCAATATTCTTATCTGAGTGCTTCTTTATTTAACTCTCCCCTACCCTGCCCTTTCTACTCTACTGGATTATCTAGAAAAATATAAGTGGGCTCTGCTACTTCTTTTTGTCATATTTAAAGAATACTGGGCTTCTGGCAGACAGCAGCTTGTGAAGGGTTAAAGTGAGCAAGGCCCCTGCTCTGCCTTACTCCCCCCTCCATAATATCCTGATATACCCCAGAGGTCCCTTCCCTGGTCCCTTCCCTTCTCTCTTTTTTGATCCCAAAGAATTTGGGGGCATGGTTTTGCCTTTTCTCTTCTGATAGGCATGACTGGATGTGGGAGTGCCATGGGGTGGGTTTGTTCTTGGTATCCACCCCTGCTGTTCTGGATTCATCCACCTAGTCTCCTTCCCTTCTCTCAAGGTTATGGTGAAAGGGAGAGGGAGGGGGAGGAAACCTTGGGGGTCTGCAGGACTGTTTCCAAGCAGTGCTGTCCCTTTAAATCTGCTTCACATCCCTGGGTTAATGTCCTAATGAATAATCCTGCCTGCCGCCATGGCAGCCAGGGGTGCTGTTCGACCCACTGCCACTCCTCCGGGAACAGCAGCAGCACCCTGGTGACCGCCCTCCCTGGGCACCTCAGGCTTAGAATGAGGAGAGAAGGGCAAGGAACTGGCAGGAGCTCCTTCATCCTTCCTTCCCCCCATGGCCCTTCTGGACGGTGAAAGAGAGGAATTCATTCTTTCCTCTCCTCCATTCCAAAATGCCAATCATTGTCAGACAGGCAGCCCCCTGCCCATCTCCCAGGGGAGGGAGAAATGATTGAGGAGGAAGAGTGAGGACTCAGCTTGCTTCTTTATTTAACTGATTTTGTTGGTTGGGAAGGGGGAGTCAGAGGCGGAGCTCAATTAAGCCCATCTCTGTGCCAGTCTCAGTACCCATCAGTCCTTGGCAAGAGCTGGGGGGTCATTCCCGGGCCATCTTCTTTGGCTGGGTTAAGAGCAGAGAAGATCAGGGAATTGGGAGGAGATGAGCTTGGAAGGGATCCTGGGGTGGGAGAGGGTGGTGGAACAGAAGCTTCTGGAGCTATGGTGGGGGCCCCCTGGAAGTGGGGGGATTTGGGGATTTGGGGTGTGGGATGTTTCAAGGGAAGGGAAGAGAAAGGAGAAAGTGAGGAAGGAGAAATTGAGGATGAAGGTCCCCCTCCCTCTCCATGACTAGGTCTTCTTGTGTCAGGTTTGTGGAGAGGTGGGGTGGGGAGGGGGTGGTCCTCTGGGCACTGTGCCAGTCCTGGGGGGTGGAACCATGCCTGTTTTCCCCAACCGCCTCACAGATCTAAACGGGGGAGAGGCTGCCCCTTAGAAGAAGAGACTCCACATCTCACCCCCCCCACCCTAGCTTCTGCCAATCAGGAAAACCTCAGAGGCAGCTGAGCCCTACCATTGGCTAGCCCCTTGGAGGGGCTCCTGGGGTCCCTCCTTCCCCAGGCTTAGTACCTTCAGGTTGGGAGGGTGGCAGATAGCAGCAGCTACTGCAGCACTCAGGGCTGGGGGGCAGGGAACAGGAGGGGGCCGGGCAGCTATGGCGGGCAGCCCAGGCAGCGGTGCCTCCTTGGAGGGCATATCCCTGGGCTCTTCAGAGGAAGCAGAGCTCCGGAGGGAAGGTAGGGGAGAAAGAGGTGGGATTGGGGCTGAAGGGAGTGTTGCCAGATATGACCACCCAGAGCGGCCATGAAGGGGGTGGGGGCAGAGTGCACCCTTCTCCTACCCAATCTTCCTGGGTCAGAGGAGGGGGATCCCTTTCTCCCTGGTCTATAGAGGTTGGTGAAGGTGGCATCTGCTGTGTGTGTCTGAGTAAGGGGCACAGAGACTTGATTAAAGAGGGAAGCCGAAGGGTATTTCTCTCTTAGCTCTTCTGTCTGTGACTGCCGTCCAATCCAATCCAACCAACAGGCATTTACGAGCCTACTATGTGCAGGATATTGTGCTAGGAACTGAGGATAAAAAGACAATGGAAAACCAGCCAGTGCCATTAATAAAAATTCGTCATGGGCTGAATACACCTTACCCTTACTCTCTTGAAAAGGTGTGACCACTTCACTCTTGCATGTACTAGGGATGGTCAGATTCACACAGACACCTGGAAAGGAAGGCTGTTAAGCCAGGGAGAAGGGCCTACCCCTGAGGAGTAGTGCATTAAGAGGGAATGGGGGCATGGAGGGATAGCAGGGGAGAACTGAGCTACCCCACCCAGGGGGCACTGGCAAAGTGGGTAGTGAGGCAGTTCATACCTGCTCCTTCTCTAGCTGTGAGTATTTCAGAGTTGAGGGAATCTAGCCCAACCCCTTCCTTATACAGGGGGGCAAACTTAGGCCTAGGGAAGGCACTGCTGACCTATTGCCCTATAGCTAGTAAGTGGCAGAGATAAGGCTCAAACCCAGGTCCCATGTTGCTTCCCTCTGGTGTCTGTCCTGGGATGTGGTATGGTGGTGATTGTGAATACATAGAATGAGAGAAAAAACCCGGAGGTGGCATAAGGAGACTTGAAGTGCATCAGGTCTAGAAACCCTAAAAAATTAGGGAAAGGGGCTGCATGAGGAAGGCATTTCTAAGGAAAATGAGGCAGGGAGGAGAGGGAAGGGGAAAAGAAGAAAGTGGGGGAGGGGAGGCCCATTGCTGTCATCCTGATCAGGTCACCCACTGACTCTGTGCCTTATCCCCCACTAAAGGAGGGGAGCAGTGACAGGAGCAGATGGGGGTGCCAGGGGCTGTCTCCACACCCATCCCCTTGGGTGCTGGTGCAGATGCTGGTGTGGGTGGCATGGTGGGGCTGGGTAATGATACCCCCTGTCCATCTCTGCTCCCAGTTGGGTACACCCAACCTTCCTCCCTCTCCCTCATTCTGAAACTTGCTTCTTTCCTATGCCCAGCCTGCATACACTTAGCTCATACCTCAGGGAGCACGGTGGGCACTGGCTGGCACACCTCTGGTATTCTGGTTGTCCTCACACGTCTCCTCATGTCTCTAGTAATGTCTAGGCTGTGGCTGAGGCTTGGAAGTGTACTTAGACAAGTATATTCTCCAGTCCCCATGCCGATTTAGGCTGCTTTCTGGCCTCTGTCCACAAGTGCTTAGAGTCGCATACCACCATGGGCTTTAACGTGTCTAGACATGCTGGTCCCCTGCAAGAGCTGGGGGGTTTCAAGTGGTCACAAGTGCTGTTGCTGGTATCTATGGGGTTTAGGGGAGGGTGAGAGGGAAAATGGAATTGGAGTCAGGCTCTTTGCTTCTGAGCCTCAGTATTGTCATCTGTAAAATGGGAATCGGCATTCAAATCCTCACAGATCTGTTGTGAGGAAACTGCTTTGTAAACCTAAAAGTACTGTATGAGTTACTATGTGACCATTGTATATACAGATGATGCAAGTTATTCAGGTCCTGCTATTTCCCTATATGAGTGCCTCCTCAGCATTAGGCCATATCCTGGGGCCCCTGTTGAGCATGGGCTGCCCTATTGGAGTCCAGTTGGGAATAGATAGGGGTAAGGGGATCGTGGTGGGGGGGTGGATTAAGATCCAATTGATCATTACTCAGTGAAACCCTGGCAGAGATGCCTGCCAACTCTGCCTTAGTTCCTGGAGCCACATGACTCTAGGCAGAGAATGGATCCTGGAATCTGACACTATTCCCTTGTACCTCCATGCAAAGACACCCAGCACGCACACACACACACACACACACACACATACACACACATACACACACACACACACACACACACACACACACACACACACGAGTTCCTCTTCTGGCTGTGTTAGCAGTCTCTCATCTGCTATACTTGGCATCACTCCGGGAGGTAGGGGCGGGGAGAGGGAGCCCAGGAAGTATCCACTTTTCCCACTAGCCCTCATCCCTAAGAGCAGGAAAACATCTTCAGGGACCAGGTGCGCATTTCAGGTATCATCATGTCCCCTGGCTAGCACGGGTAAGCTCCCACCCCTGTGGATATTTTAGAAAGCCTCCCCATTTGGGCTCAGTGGACAGCTAGTCAGCAAGCAGTTATGATGTACATATCATGTACATCATGGTCAGATTCACACAGACACCTGGAAAGAAAGGCTGTTAAGCCAGTGAGAAGGGCCTACCCGAGGAGTAGCAAGGTGCTAAGCTCTGGGGAAATAAAGGAAGGCTACTGCCCTGGTTGCCTACGCCCACTCTCCTGAAAGAGGGCTGGAGATGTGGACATCCCCTCCTGCCCCTTCTGCCCTAGAAAAGGTTGGCATGCAGCCTGACCCAGTTGCCCCTTCTACACTCCTGGATTTGCCACCCACCTTTCTTCTGTTCTCCCCCTCCATCTTCCCACAGCCATGCAGCAAGTCCTAGACAACCTGGGGACCTTTCCCAATGCCACGGGCGCTGCTGAGTTAGACCTGATCTTCCTTCGAGGCATCATGGAAAGTCCAATAGTAAGATCCTTGGCAAAGGTACAGTTCCATAGGGAGGTGGACATGGGGGTGTGGTGTACAGGGTCGGGGACCGGGGTGGAGAACTCAGTCTTGGTCCTTGGAGACAAGCTTTTGGATGTGCTATCCTGTGGCCTTGGGAAGCTTTGCATTTCAAAATCTGGACGCAGTGAGAGAGCTTGAGATGATGTGTGTCTACATTCATTCTTTGTGTGTGTGTGTGTGTGTGTGTGTGTAGGCAGTTGGGGTTAAGTGACTTGCCCAGGGTCACACAACTAGTGTCTGAGGTCGTATTTGAACTCAGGTCCTCTTGAGTGCTCTATCCACTGGACTACCTAGCTGCCCCATGAGAACCCATTCTTGAGGCATGAAGTTGGGTGATTATAGGTGGAAACACACTTTCCCCGGACCTGGCTTAGCCAGTTTTTGTGGGGATCAGTATAATAACTGATAATAATAATCACCAGTCTGTGTAATAGCCCCTTCTTAATACGTGGCTGGGTGTGTTTGTGTCTATGTTTCTGTGACTTGTATGCATTAGTGTGTCTATGTCTGAAACCTCCAGAATCCATCCCAACTCCCCCTGCCATCTTTGGACCAGTGGACTGCCTGTCTCAGAGTTCTATCTAGGCCCAGCTGGCTTCTCCCAGGGTGGCATGGCTGTGCAGCTCACACCAGGATGGGGCAGCAGGGAGCCCATCCCCTTCCTGCCTTCTCAGAGACTCCTTGATGGGTCTGTAATCCCTGGAAGGGAGCAGACCTCTTTAGCTGCAGTGAGGTGGCAAACCCAGACACTTGGGTTGTCATTGTGCCAGAGAGGTGTATGCAAATGGATAGGTGTGTGAGCATCTGTAGTCTACAGGTTAGAACGTCAATGTATTTGGCCAAACGCCTACAAACCTTCCAGGAACAAAAGCTCCGATACAAGGTAGGCCTCAGGGGAAGCTTCAGAAAAAGCAGAGGTAGCAAAATTCAGAAATGAGCAGAGTTAGACTAAGTTCCCATGCATGGAAATGAGTAGTGTGCCAGAGTTTATTTCCTATATTATATAATCGAAGTCACCTTGTGAATGAACCTGTTCCACCTTGAATGACTTTTGCTCTGATTTCTGAAGCAGCTGGTACAGGGAGAGCCTCTGTGTGTTTGTGCCAAACAGTAAATGACATCGATTTCCCAGGACTATTCTTGAATACCTGCTGGTTGGAATTACACACTGGGAAGCTTTGGGCAAGGTTCCAGAGACTCAGGGCAAAAAGAAAAGAGACTGGGTGGGTGTGTGGGTGGGGGGAGACTCTCCAGGCCAGCGGCTCCATAAATGTAGGTTTGCTGGGTTAGAGGAATCTGATGGCATCTGCCTCGGATCTTGGCAGTGCGCCTGGTCTGGAAATGGATAACTGCGGAGATTCGTCTGAGCTTGGAAAAGGTGAGATTGACCAGGGAGAACCAACTACCTGTTCGTGGTCACTTTTAATTATCCTATATCACTCAGAGCAATATGGATTTTAATATAGTCAGTCTCAGTAAGGGCGTTTTGAGCCAAAACCTAATCATGAAAATTAATTAGTGCCTGCTTGAAAAGTGACCTGGAAATCTGCATGCTTGGGATGAAGTGGAAGCACCCTATGGGAGTGATACCTGGCTTACAATTCTGTACTCAAGGTTAGCTGGGTGCCCCAGAAGAGCCCAGGGCTTGGGCCTAGAATCAGGAAGACCCGAGTTCAAATCCAGCGTCAGATACTTAGTAGCTATGTGACCCCGGGAAAGGCACTTGTCCTGTTTGCCTCAGTTTTCTCATCTATAAAATAAGGATGAAAATAGTACCTTCCTCCCAAAACTGTTGTGAGGATAAATAAGATAATATTTGCAAAGTGTGTTGCAAACCTGAAAGCACAATATAAATGCTAGCTATGTACTATAAATGCTATGTGCCCTTTGGAAGAAGCTTTCAGTTTCGAACTATGAGTATGCATCAGAGAGCAAAAGAAAACCTAGAAGGAAGCACAGAAAAGTTGGGTTGCTTTAAAAACAATGTGTAGGATTTATTACATGGGTTTTTGAGAAATGGAAACATTGTTTTATATTGAATCTTCTTTTATGTTCAGCTGTGTAGGCAGAAATGTTCTTTTTTTCCCCCTTTCTTATTTTGTATTTAAATTTAAAATGAATAAAATTTTTTAAAAAAGGAAAAAATTAAGTATGGCCCTGGAAATACAGATTGTATTTGAGGGGAATATGTTTTCCTCTCTTACTATCTGTGTAATCTTGAGCAAATCACATAACCTCTCTGTGCCTCAGTTTCCTCATCTGTAAAATGAAGGGGTTGAATTAAATGGTTTCTGAGGCCTGGAGTCAGGAAGGCACCTCTTTCAGAGTTCAAAGCTGGCCTCAGACACTTGCTAGTTGTGTGACCCTGGGCAAGTCACTTAACTCTGTTTGCCTCAGTTTCCTCATCTGTAAAATGAGCAGGAGAAGGAAATGGCAAACCACTCTAGTATCTTTGCCAAGAAAACCCCAAATGGGGTCATGAAGAGTTGGACAAGGACTGAAATGACTGAATTAACAACACATCTTTTATGTCAGTCATTTCTAAATATACTCTTCCACCTCTCTCCCTCCACTTCCTGTGATGAGAAAAAACAGTTAAATCACACTAATTGAAAGAGGGACCCCGTCTGACAGCACATGCACCATTTCATACACATAGTCCTACATGTGTCCAGACAAAAGAAGGTGGTACACTTCATGGTATTTTAGAATTTATTTTATTTTATTTATTTTAGAATTTGGAATATTTAGAATCTGTGAGACCTCAGAGACCAGCTAGCCCTGCCCCCCCATCCAAAACATGTCACTTACTGTAACATGCCTGACAAATGCTTAGAGACTCCCAGTCAGGGGAACCTACTGCCTTTTAGCTCAGTTTCACAGTGTATAGGGTGCTGGGCCTGGAGTCAGAAAGAACTGAGTTCAAATCCAGTCTCAAACACTTGCTAGCTGTGTGACCCTGGGCAAGTCACTTCACCCTGTTTGTCTCAGTTTCCTCATCTGTAAATGAGCTGGAGAAGGAAATGGCAAACCACTCCAGTATCTTGACCAAAAAAACCTCAAAATGGGGTCACAAAGAGTTGGACACTTACTAAAATGACTGGACCACAACAATACCATCTCTCAGAGCAGCCTGTTGCATCTTTGGATGAATGCTTCTAACTGTTAGAAGGTTTTTCGGACATCAAGGCCCTTTTATAACTTTACTGATGGCTCCTGGGAAAAAATAGAATACATCGATAGACAGGGATACCCTCTTCCACACAACACCCCTTCAAATACCTGAACAGTTACCATATACCTGCTGGGTCTTCTCTTTTCTGGGCTAAATATTCCCAATTTCCCAATATTCCTCATAGAACATGGACCATCCTGGTTGCCACTCCCTGTATACTCTCCAGTTCATCAGTTTCCTTCTTAAAATATGGCACTTTGAATCGGACACAGTATTCCATATAGGGTCTGAGTAGGGCAGAGTGTAGAGGAACCTTCCTGTCCCTGGAGGCTGTGCTCCTCAATGTGGCCCATGACTGCCTTAGCTCTTTTGGTCACCACATCACACTGACGACTCCTGTTGAACTTGTGGTCCACTAACCCCCCTGGATCTTTCTCAGACAAGTTTCTGCCTATCCATACCTTCCTCTATCCTGTGCAATTGAGGCTAATATTTTGGCCTCAAGTGTTAGTTTGTTGTTGTCAGTCATTTCAGTCGTGTCCGACTCTTCATGACCCCATTTGGAGTTTTCTTGACAGAGATACTGGAGTGGTTTGCATTACTTCTCCAGTTCATTTTACAGATGAGAAAACTGAGGCAAACAGGGTCAAGTGACTTCCCCAGGGTCACACAACTAGTGGTTTGCCATTTTCTTCTCCAGCTTATTTTACAGATGAGGAAACTGAGGCAAACAGGGTTAAGTGACTTGCCCAGGGTCACATAGCTAGTGGTTTGCCATTTCCTTCTCCAGCTTATTTTACAAATAGGGAAATTGAGGCAAACAGGGTTAAATAACTTGCCCAGGGTCGCATAGCTAGTTTAAGTGCCTGAAGCTGGATTTGAACTCAGGAAGATGAGTCATCCTGACTCTAAGCCTGGTGCTGTCCACTGTGCCACCTAGCTGCCCAAATGTTAGACTTTACATTTATTCCTATTGAATTTCATCTTAATAGATTCATCCCAATGCTCTAGCTTGTTAGTGTCTTTTTGGATCTTGACGCCATCATCTATGTGTGTAACTGGCTCTTCTAGCTTTTTATGAACCTACCATCTTTGTCTTCATCTATTTCCTCATTTAGCCTCTCTTTCTCTGATAATGAGATAGTGGACAGTCACATAGTATATAGAGACCTGGCCTCAGAACCAGGCAGACCTGTTCCACTTCTTTCACGTAGTAGCTGTGCAACTCCCGGTCAGGTCAGTTAACATCACAGGGCTCTAATAATAGTCATAATTGCCAACCCTTATACTGTTCTTTAAGGTTTACACAGTCCTTTGTCTATTATTTTCTTTCTTTCTTTCTTGAGGCAATTGGGGTTAGATGACTTGCCCAATGTCCCACAGCTAGTGAGTGTCTGAGGGCAGGTCCTTCTGACTCCAGGGGCGGTGCTCTATCCACTGTGCAACCTAGTTGCCCCTTCTATAATTTTCTCTCAATTGATACTTACAGAACCCCATGATATAAAATGAACCCCCATTTTATAGATGAGGAAACTGGGGCCCAGACAAGTTAAGTGACTTGCTCAGAGTCATACAGCTAGTAAGTGTCTGAGGTGGGATTGAAAGTCAGGTCTTCCTGGTTCTGAGGCCAGGTCTCTATCACCTCTTTCGTCCAGCTATTCTGGGTAACTCTCAGATTACAAGGTACAGAGAAGGTGTCCATCTGTATTAGGAGAAGGAATCACTTGGGGTTCTGTATATCAATAAAATCACAGGTCCACTCCCTATCCATCCTATCAGAGGATGATATAATTAATCCCTTATACAGGTTTACAGCACTTAGAAAGATAACACCCTAGGAGGTAGACAGTGGGTACCCACTGTAATAGAGATCTCCATTTACCGATATAAAAACTGAGGTTAGAGGGGATGAATTAATCCACTTTGGTCATATGCTCATGCTAATGAGTCTAAGTCAGGACCAGAATCCAGGCTTTCTGAATCTTTCTTGATGCTTAAAAAAAAAAATCACACTATGCTCCCTCACAGATCAGAGCTGCCAGGGTATCAGGGAGCAAAAATAAACTTAAAAAAAAAAGGAAAAGAAGAAAGGAAGAAAAACCATTTAGTAAAGTTTCCAGACTTGCATTCTAGGCAGTCTTCCAGTCATACTGCTCTGTACTGTAAAGAATTCTAACAGATGCTTTGTTACAGAAGAGTTTTAGTCATACTTCCTTAGCTATGTGACCCTGGGCAAGTCACTTAGCCCTGTTTGCCTTAGTTTCTTCATCTGTAAAATAAGCTGGAGAAGGAAATGGCAAACTACTAGCTATGTGACCCTGGGCAAGTCACTTAACCCTGTTTGCCTCCATTTCCTCATCTGTAAGATAAGCTGGAGAAGGAAATGGCAAGCTACTAGTATGTGACCCTGGGCAAGCCATTTAACCCTGTTTACCTCAGTTTCCTCATCTATAAAACAAGCTGGAGAAAGAAATGGCAAACCACTTCCTCAGGTATCTTTGCCAAGAAAATCCCAAATGAAGTCACAAAGAGTTAGACATAGCTGGAAAAAATAACAACAGTTGAGGAAACGAGGAAGTCAAGTTAAGTGACTTGCCCAGGGTCACACAGTTAGTAAGTACCTGAGTATATCTGAGTAAGTATATTGGAATTCTAGTCTTCCCAACTCCAGGGTCAGTGCTGTAGCCACTGCACCACCTAGCTGCCTCTAGGTTAGATGAAATAGTAGTGTTGGGGGGGGGGATGCAGCTAGGTGATGCAGTGGATAGAGCACTGGCCCTGGAGTCAGGAGGACCTGAGTTCAAATCCGGCCTCAGACACATAACATGCACCAGCTATGTGACCCTGGGCAAGTCACTTAACCTCATTGCCTAATCAAAAAAAGAAAAAAAAGAAAGAATAGTGTCAGGTCAAATAATGGAGTCCTACAATGATCAGTGGGAGCTTGACCTCCTCCTAATGCCTGCTTCCTCCAGGGTGGAGATGCTATTGGATTTTCCCCAGATCCTAGCTTGTTCAGTAGGTGTTTATTTGAGAGGTAGTGTGATGTAATGGATAGTGGCAGCTGGGAATCTGATGCTTCTTATCCAAGTGAGTATACACATGCCATTTATAGTCCCTGAGCCTTAGTTTCCTCATCTGTAAAACAGAGATAAAAATACCTGTAGCATCTCCTTCAAAGGGTTGTTGTGACCCTCACCTTTGCTCACAGATGTGCATAGCACTTTATAGATCACAGAGCCCTGTATAAATGTCAGCTGTGATCTCTACTATACAATGAACTAGATTAGACAAGGGACAATCAGAATAATCTAGCATTTGATAAATCCGAAAATGCGAAGTACTAAGGAAAAAGTCCCTAATTGATTAAAAAAAATTGCTGGGAAAATGGAAAGCAGTCTGGCAGAAACCAGGCTTAGACCAATATATTATACAATTTTCCGCAATAAATTCAAAATAGTCAGTTGAGATACCCAGAATGAGGAAGGGACAGGGGCATGGTTTATAAAATTTTAAGACTTCTACATTGATGTCCATGAGAGTAACCCAAAGACACAGAACTACTTTGGAATTGAATGGACCACTAGATTCTCCTTGTCTTGATTTGGGTGTCAGCTAAGAAAAGAAGTTACTAGTCAGGGTAAGGGGAAAGGTTTGAGTGTGCATATGTGAGTTTGTGTAGGTGATTGAGTGTGGGTATATGAATGTCTAAGTGTGTGCGTGGGGGCAGGGGGGCTCTGCCAACCAGACTGTTAATTGGTAATAGGTGACTGGGGTGGAGGTGTTCCAACTGCCAAGTGAGAGGTGCCAAGGAGGGGATCCCTGTAAGGGTCTTTAATTTCACAAGGGGCCTGTGGTGGGGTGGGGGTAGAAGGTAACCCAGGCTCTTCCTCTCCTCCTCCCTCCCACCAGGCCCACGAACGCCTGGAAGAGACCAAACTGGAGGCTGTTCGGGACAATAACCTGGAGCTGGTTCAGGAGATTCTTCGGGACCTGGCCGAGCTGGCCGAGCAGAGCAGCACGGCTGCTGAACTGGCCCATATTCTCCAGGAGCCACACTTCCAGGTGGGGGGCCCCAGGCCAGGCCAGGAGTGTGGGGAATACTGATGGGTGGGCAAAGGGACTTTCTAGAAGAGTTTTAGGAAAAACCTCAAAGCTTTTCCAGGCCTTGAACCCCTTACACCGATGAAAGCCCAAGTTACCATCTTTTTAGGGGCGAATCACTTTCTGTGCCAAAGAATTTCAGCGTAGCACCTCTAGGTGTGCTTGGCATAGCAGCTGGTGGAATGTTGTGGTAGGGGCAGGGAATGGAGCCCTGGCTGAGGGATTGGGCTGAGAAAGTGGTTGGATCTGGTTGAGTGAAAGGAGTCTCCAGGTGGGAAGGACAGGGGACCCGGGAAGGGAAGCTGAATAGGTTTTGGGGTTTGGGTAGAGATTTGTTGATGGGATCAGCTCAGATGGAGGTGATCTGGTCAGGGTCCTGGCAGGTACCCAGGGGGATCTGGCAGGATTCTAAAGAAAAGGAATTGGATGAGGAGAGTCTGACTCAAATGAGGGAGACCTGGGACAGAGGGATGGATCAGGAGGATGGGCAGGGAGGGGGCAGCTGGGGGCTGACGGGAAGGCCTCTGGGGCAGGGGAAAGCTGAGCACTGCTGTTTTGTGACTGCTCTGTTTCCCTAGTCCCTCCTGGAGACGCATGACTCCGTGGCATCAAAAAGCTATGAGACACCACCTCCCAGCCCTGGCCTAGACCCCATGTTCAACAACCAGCCTGTCCCTCCAGATGCTGTACGAATGGTGGGCATCCGAAAGACTGCAGGAGAGCACCTGGTGAGGGCGCTGGGGTAGGAGGTAAAGGAAATAGGGAGAGCCATGGGTACTGGGGAGGGCATGCCCATACCATGCCCAGGGTGAGATTGCAGAGCAGACCAAAGGAGGGATTGTGAAGGGCTTTGGGAAAGTCGGAGAGGTAGAGCCAGCTGGGGAGCGGGCTAGTGAGGGAAGTAGGGGGTCACCAGTAAGGAGGGCCTAACCATAATTCCAAGGGAGAAAATGCAGAAATTCCAGCACCTGGGAACACACGCATGCCCCAGAGCCCTTGGCCGGCAAGTAAGTAGAGACAGGAAGAAACTGGTGTGATATAATGGAAAGAGGACTGGACCTGGGTCCCAATGCTACCTCTGACAATGCCCAGTTGTGGGGTTATGAAGAAGGCACTTCACCTTTCTGAGCCTCAGTTTCCCCATCTGTAAGATGGGGACAATAACACCTGTGTACTTGTTGTGAAGATTAATTACTCAACAAATATTGGTTAAGCACCTACTATATGCCAGGCACTGGGGATACACTCAACACAGATGAAAGTAGAACACTCCCTTCCCTCAAAGAGTTTATATTCTTTAATGGGAGAGAAAAGGGATGCATATAAGTAGGTATAAAATAATTATATGCAAGATAACTTTGGGGGTGGGGGATGCTCCAGCAGCTGTGGGGATCCCAAGGGCCTCATTTAGGAGCTTTGAGGAGCAAATGAGACAATTTTAAATGCTTACAAACCTTGAAGGATTTTATAGACTCCATTATTTATTATTATTATTATTATTAATAATAATAATAATAATTTCCCCCTTCTCCCAGTTAGTGCTGCCTTATTAATTGCTTCATCTAAGCTGATCAGTAGGAGGAAGGAATAAGAGAAGGAGTGGTGGTGATGTTCTCAACCTTGGCTTCTAGCCCAGGGGGATGGTGAGAGGGGAGGAAGAGGAGGAGGAGGGAGGAAGAGGAGGAAGAGGAAGAAGAGGGGGAAGAGGAGGAAGAGGAAGAAGAGGGGGAAAAGGAGGAGGAGGAGGAGGAGGAGTTGTTTGAAGAAGCCCTGCTGGGTAGCTGAGGGCCTGGGCCTTAAGGTTGAGCCAGGGTGGGGAACCCACCATACCCAGTCTCCTGAGAGTTGAGCAGGAGGTGGGAATCAGGGAAGGGAGTGACAGTTCTGGAGAGAAGGCCAGAGTATTTAGACAGCAGGGTACACAGACTTAAGCCTGCTCCTTAACCCACCCTCCTCCTCTTCCTGCTTTGCCCAGGGCGTGACGTTCCGAGTGGAGGGTGGAGAGCTGGTGATTGCCCGTATCCTGCACGGGGGCATGGTGGCCCAGCAGGGCCTGTTGCACGTGGGCGATGTCATCAAGGAGGTGAACGGGCAGCCTGTGGGCAGTGACCCCCGGGGGCTGCAGGAGTTACTTCGAAGTGCCAGTGGGAGTGTCATCCTCAAGATCCTGCCCAGTTACCAGGAGCCCCACCTGCCTCGACAGGTGGGCATCTGGTTGGCACCTGTGCCCATCCGCCTCCCTCCCTGGACCCTGGTATCTTTCCCTCTATACCTGATTGCCCCCCCCACATTGTTGGCTGTTCTGAGGGGCACTTCATGTGGACCCTTTTCCCTTCCCCAATATGTGTGTGTCTTGGAGGTGAGGTATGATCTGTGTATGCAAGCATGCATGAATGTTCTGGCTGCAGGGGTTTGTAGGGTGTATACCCATATGTGCTCATGGCAGGAGACTAGGATCCCTGCACAGAGCCTATGCATGTAACATGTACATATTCATACTTGCACAGATATGTAGGTGGCATGGGTATGCATGCATATGCAGAGGCAAATGTGATGTAAAGAACGCTGGATTTGGAGTCAGCAGAGGACTGGGTTCAAAACCCTCCTCTGGCCCAGAGCTTCCTGGTCAGGTGACCACAGCCAGTCACCTCTCTGAGCCTCAGTTTCCTCATATGTAAAATGGAGGTAATACAAATAGTACCAACTTCATAGGGCGATTGTTGGGCATTAAATGAGATCATGAATGTAAAGCACTTTGCAAACCTGAAGCTGGCACAAAAATGTCAGTTATCTTTTACAAAATTGTATATAAGTGTGTGCATCCTTATACACCTGTGTGTATCTTTGTACATATGTGCATTCTTGTACATGCATGCACATCCATGTATACAACATATTTCTTGTATAGGCATGTGCATCCGTGTACATATGTGTGTGCCATTGCATGTATGTGAGCACTTATATACACATGTTGCAAACTTGTTATTTGGTAATTTCAGTAGTGCCCAATTCTTCATGACCTCTTTTGGAGGGTTTTTTTTTAGCAAATTTATCGGAGTGGTTTTCCATTTCCCTCTCCAGTTCATTTTACAGATAAGGAAATGGAGGCAAACAGGGTTAAGTGACTTACCCAGGATCACACAGTTAATAAGTGTCTGAGGCCAGATTTGAACTCAGGAAGAGGAGTCTTCCTGACTCTAAGTCCCAGCACTCCATCCACTGTGCCACCTACTTGCCCGTTGTATATTTGCAGATTCATGTATTTCCTTGTACATATGCATATGTGTGTGGCATATATACATATAAGCCCGAGTGGAATGTTTCTCCTTCTGGCATTAAGCATAAGCACCCAGGGCCTTCCTCTCCCATCAGATAGAAACTCTCCAGGCCTGGCTGTCTCCCAGAAGCCTGTGAGGTTAGCATCTAGAAAATGCTTTATTATAACCTAAGCCCAGTGGGCAGGAGAGGGCAGAGAATGAGGAACCCGTCTTGGTGTGGGCATCAGCCTTTCCTTCTCCCACTAGAGTGTCTAGAGGGAGATGAGGAGGAATAACCCTGCCCATAAGTGGGAGGGACAAAGCCAGAACTAATCCACTGCCCTTTGTTCTGGGCAGTGAAAGGAGCCTGGCAGTGGATGGCAGAGCAGGCAGAGACAATGACGTACCCCCTTAAAGGGGCAAGGGCTGGTGTGTATGAATGTGCCTGTCTGTGTGTACTCTCATTTCCCCCCTACCTTGTCCCTGGGACTTTAGAGGCTAGGGGGTGGCACCTTACTCAGGTCCTGGGTACCCTTGAGGTAGGGGGAGGGGCACCTATCCTTTCCTTACCATCCCACTCCTGGGTGCCCTTATTGACACTATGCCTACCATGATCCTTGATTCATACGTGCTTCTCTCCCTTCTCCACCACCCAGGTGTTTGTCAAATGCCACTTTGACTATGAGCCAGCCCGGGACAGCCTGATCCCCTGCAAGGAGGCCGGCTTACGTTTTTGTGCTGGGGACCTGCTCCAGATTGTTAACCAGGATGATGCTAACTGGTGGCAAGTGAGTGCCCTCAGGGCACTGGCCATGTCAGTGCCCCACGGAAGCCAGGCCCTCTGCCCCAGGGGTGCTTCAAATCCCCCCCTCCCCCATCAGCCCTCTGCTGGTCCACCTTAATCCAGTTGAGCAAGTGGGGTGGTACAGCTGGCAGGAAAGGAAGAAGCACAAACATCCCCTCTGAGGCTGGTCTCTTCCTGAGGGAGGATGTCAGAAGCCGGTGAGATGGGAGGGAAAGTGAAGGGGAGCAGGGGAGATACCAAAGTTCTTAAGCCTAGTGGGCATGGGTGGGTGTTTCAGGCATGCCATGTAGAGGGGGGCAGTGCTGGGCTTATCCCTAGCCAGCTGCTGGAAGAGAAGCGGAAGGCCTTTGTCAAGAGAGACCTGGAGATGACACCAACCTCAGGTAAGCACTTTTGGGGTAAGTCTTGCCAGCTTTGGGATGTGATGAGAGCACTTCCAAGTTTACCCATCTCTCCTCTCCTCATTTCCAGGGGCCCTATGTGGCAGCATCTCAGGCAAGAAGAAGAAGAGAATGATGTATCTCACTACCAAGAATGCAGGTAGGTGCCCTTATGCCTGGGCCCTGCCCATCTTTTCCTGTACCTTAGCCCCAGCGTTCTCTCCCTTGGTGCTGCATAGAAACTGTATTCTTCAGTGTTAGACCGTGTTTACCTTGCCCCTGGCCACTAACCTCAGGTCTCCCTCCTGGGCACTTCCTACCACCAGACACATGACCGCTGGACCCCTAGACACCTCCCATGGGCATTGTGTCCATCTCCCTGAATACTCCTCTGTGACCCTGCCCACTTCTTCCTTTTGCCCTGCTGTACCCATGCTGGCCTGATGGGCGGTACACTTGTCTCTATGCTCACAGAGTTCGATCGGCATGAACTTCTGATCTATGAGGAAGTGGCCCGGATGCCCCCCTTCCGCCGGAAAACCCTGGTGCTGATTGGGGCACAGGGTGTGGGGCGACGTAGCCTGAAGAACAAGCTTATTATGTGGGACCAAGACCGCTATGGCACCACTGTGCCCTGTGAGTTGACCCTGGGATGGGCGCCATACCCCAAGAAAGGCCACCAGGCTGAGAACTAGGCTCAGCTATTAGTCCCAGGGGCATTCGTTTATCTTTGTTTCTCCTTAGCACCCAGATCAGTATCTTGTGGGAAGCGGCAGTGTGGAATAGTAGGTAGAAAGCTGGACCTGACATTAGGAACACAGGTTCAAATCTCACCTTAGATACTAGCCGTGTGACCCTGGGCAAGTCGCTTAGCCTTTTTTGGGGCCTCAATTTCTTCATCTGTAAAATGAAGGGGTTGGCCTTGATTGTCTAAAGTTCCTTCTAACTCTAATTCTCTGATTTTATGAAATGTTGATTGAATTAGAGTGGGCATTGTGTTGGACAGGGGCAGCTAGGTGGTGCAGTGAATGGAGTGTTGGGCCTTAGAGTTAGGAATTCTCATCTTCCTGAGTTCAAATCTGGCCTCAGACTCTTCCTAGCTGTGTGACCCTGGGCAAGTCACTTAACCCTGTTTGCCTCAGTTTCTTCATATGTAAAGTGAGCTGGAAAAAAAATTAAATGAACTGGAGAAGGAAATGGCAAATCACTTTGGTATCTTTGCCAAGAAAACCCCAAATGGGTTCACAAAGAGTCAGATACAACTGGAAAATGACTCAATAACAAACTGTGTTTGAAGGATCTAAATCGGTCTAATCTAACCAGCGTTTAGGGCCAGCCTAGGTATACCTGCCTCCAGGGCCCTCAGTAACCCTACTTAGAAAATAGAGCCATAGAGGGAAAGTAAATGTGGAGGAACAAAGGAGAGGAGAGACAGGAGGCTGGAGCAGCTGAGAGGGAGTAGGGAGACGTCAGTGTGGATTTATGGTCACATTGATCAATGGATGGAAAGTGAGGTCATCCATTAGTGGTGGCGAGGTGGTGCAGTAGAGCTGGGCCTGGAGTCAGGAAAAACTGAGTTTAAATCTGCCCTCGGACATTTATTAGCTGTGTGACCCCTGGCAAATTGCTTAACCTCGGTCTGCTTCAGTTTTCTCACCTAGCTCAGAGGATAAAATGAGATAGTATTGGTAAAGTGCTTAAAAAAACCTAAAATCACTATGTAAATATATAATGTATATATTTATATACATAACATTTCATATAGAATACAAAATATAGAATGTAATGAGTTTTCAATTTATGATTTTATTACTTTTATTTATATGTTTATAATGATATATAATATACATTTTCTCAGTCGTGTCCAAATCTTTGTGACCCCCTTTGGGGTTGTCTTGGTAAAGATACTGGAGTATCCTTCTCCAGATCATTTTACAGATGAGGAAACTGAGGCAATCAGGGTTAAATGACTTGCCTAGAGTCACACAACTAGTAAGTGTCTGAGGCCAGATTTGAACTCAGGAAGATGTGTCTTCCTGACTCCAGGTCCAGCCCTCTATGTACCATGGCACCATCTAGCGGCACATAATAATTATATATGATACAAACAAGTTATTATTTATATATGGCATATCACATATAATATATCACGCATCTACACATAATATGTAATATATTTATATAGAATTTATATATAAGTACTAATAGTAATGTTATCATCATCATACTAGGAAGACCCGAAGTCAGATACATCTGGGACTGAATGCTACTTTGCTACATGTTATCTGTGTGACCAAGGGCCAGTCACTGCCCCTCCCTGGGCCTCAGTTTACTCATCTGTAAAATGACAGAGTTGGGGGTCCATGATCTACAAGGTCCCTTCTAGCTCTAAATCCTATGGATTTAGAAGAGGCTATGGAATGTTAGCTATCATTTTTAATTGCTGTTCTGCCTGATCGTTTGGTGAGTGAGCACCCTCTGCTGGTAAACAAGGGGTACTGCACCTTCAGGTTGGGGACTGCTGCCCACCACTGATCTAGGACTCAGGGGTAGCCTTGGAGGCTTCTGCAGCCCTGATCCAGGTGGTATACTGAGATGTGACTTTCTTAGTCCTTCCCTTCCCTTCAATCATAATAATATCGAGTATTCACTTAGCACTTTAAGGTTGGCAAAGTGCTTTTTGAACATCTCACTTTGCCCCCACAACAGGCCCCAGAGGTGGGTACTGTTATTATCACCATTTTACAAATGAGGAAACTGAGGCAGACAGTGGTTAAGTGATTTGCCAAGGTCACATAGCTAGGAAATATCTGAGGCTAGATTTGAACTCATCTTCCTCACTCCAGGCCCAGTGGATAGAGCACCAGGCTTCCTCAAGGAACTAGTGGTCTAGCTTAGGAGACAAGACAGTCTCCAGACAGAAAGGACCTCAGAAGTCATCTAACCCCTGTGTGTTTCTATATCTCCAGAGACAGAGCTTCACTCTCTGGGAAGTTTTTTTTTCCTGATATTGACCCAAACCTATCCCCTTATAACTTCTACCCTTGGGCCCTTCTGAGGGCAAGCAGACTAAGTCTATTCGCTCTTCCATGTGCTATCTTCAGATATTTAAAGATAGCTCTCATGTCTTCCCTAAGTCTTCCCTTGTCCAAATTAAACACCTGTACTTCCTAATCAGCAGTCTTCTCAACATCCACATTGATCTCAGAACACAGTGTCGCTCCTAAAATGAGCTGAATAAATATTCTAAATGGGATCTGGCCAGGATGAAGGAGCTAGGACCTTCCTTGTTTGAGATGCTATACTTTTGTTAATGCAAATGAAGTTCATGTTTGGGACAAGGTCTGGACCTGTGATTTTATTGATTGGGTTAGCTAGTTGTGTGACCCTAGGAAAGTTATTTAATCTCTCTGTGCTTTAGGTTCTCATCTGTAAAATGAATCGGTTGGATTTGATGGCCTCTGACCTCCCTTTCAGCTCTAATTGTCTGATACGAAATGCTGATTGAATTGAACACTGAAGTGGACACTGTTTCTAAGAGATTCAGTTCAATCCAATCTTTTTTCTTTCTTTTTTTTTCCCTTGGGGAAAAAATCCACTGCGCCACTTAGCAGCCCTAGTTCAATCCAATCTAACCAGTATTTAGGGGCAGCCTAGGTATTCCTTAGGAGCAAAGTGGGTAGAGCACCCAGCCAGGAGTCAGGAAAACCTGAGTTCAAATTTAGCCTCAGACACTTCCTAAGTCATGTGACCCTGGGCAAGTCACTTAACTCTCTTTGCCTGAGTTTCCTCATGGCAAACCACTACAGTATCTTTGACAAGAAAACCTCAAATGGGGCCATGAAGAGTCAGAAATGACTGAACAACAACAAGGTATTACTCCCTCTGCGATCCTGAGCAACCCTAGTTAGAGAGTGGGGACCATAGAGGGATTATACTACCAATGCAGGTTGGGCCTTCCCCATTTTGCAGATGGGGAAACTGAGGCTGAGAGTAGTTAAGTGACTTGTTTAGGGTTACACAGCTAGTAAGTGTCTGAGGCAGGATTTGAACTCAGGTCTTCCCAATCCCAAGCTCAGCATCCCATCTAGCTGCTTCAGTATATGTTCATGCATGTTTCTCACTCTCCCTGCCTGCCAGACACATCTCGTCGGCCTAAGGACACTGAGCGGGAAGGCCAGGGCTATAGCTTTGTGACGCGGGCAGAGATGGAGGCTGACATCCGTGCTGGCCGCTACCTGGAGCATGGGGAATATGAAGGGAACCTGTATGGCACGCGAATCGATTCCATCCGAAATGTGCTCAGTGCTGGCAAGGTGTGCGTGTTGGATGTCAATCCGCAGGTAAGCCAACACCTGCCCTCCACTCCAGGCTAGCCACCTCCCTGACTGCAGGCCACATCCCAATCCCCAAACGGGTCCTTCCTAATCACAGGCAGAAGCCCAATCCTCAAGGGCCCTCTCTGACCCTATATAACACCATATTGTCCACCATAGAGCCTTTTCTCAACCTTAGGTAACACCTTATCCCCTGGGGACTCTCTCTAACTCTACATAATACTGCCATCCCTGGAGACCCTAGGTTTGAATTACAGCCTGACTACTTTCCTGCCTCTATGACCTTAGGTAAATCACTTAGTACCTCTGAGCCTCAGTTTCCTAATCTGTAAAATGAGAAAATTGGACTAGATACTTCTAAGGTCTTTTCTTCCTTAAACCTACAATTCTATGTATGATTGTGCTCAGTGTATGATCTATGACCCACCTTCCCTTTCTATTACCAACCCTAGGTCATCCTCCCCCATTCCCTTAACCCTTTCCCATGACTCTTCCTCTCTTACCTTCTTTTCCTAATGGATACTCAGAGATACCTACATCTCCTTTTCCTGGGAGCAAACTCTGCTCTGACTTCATACACTTTTTTTTGTTGAGGCAATCGGGGTTAAGTGACTTGCCCAGGGTCACACAGCTAGTTAAGTGTCTGAGGCTGGATTTAAACCTAGGTCCTCCTGACTCCAAGGCTGGTGCTTTGTCCACTGCATCTGATTCCATTTGCTTTTAATGCTTTTCTTGACCATAGGCAATACCCCATCCTTCAGGGAACTTCTATAACCTTATAGAACACCCTCCGCCCATCCCTAGAAATCCTCATTTGAAGCCCTTGTCTGCTCTCTCTTTACCAAGGCAGCTGAAGGTCATTCATATTTCATCTGAACTCTGGAGTAGGAAGGTGCTATAGAGATCCCCCTGGAGTGAGAGATATGATATTAGGGAGGGAAATAAAGATTAAGGAGATAATGCTGAATATACCCCCCTATCTCCTCAGGCAGTGAAGGTGCTAAGAACTGCTGAGTTTGTCCCATACGTGGTTTTCATTGAGGCCCCTGACTTTGAGACCCTGCGTGCCATGAACCGGGCTGCCCTGGAGAGTGGGGTGGCTACCAAGCAACTCACGGTGAGGGGGAGCTAGAAGGGAAGGGATGAGTACAGGGTGGGGAAGAAACAAGTGTAAGGTTGGGATAGATGGGCTGGCCCAATGGGAGGGGTGCAAGAAGTACTCAGGGTACAGTGGGAAATAGGGATACAGTGACTAGTGGGGAGGCTGGGCAGCAGATCAGGGGTGCCCAAGGAAGTCTGGGCAGATGTTCATCCTTTCCATCATTCATCAAATATTCATTAAACAGAAGCTCCATGGTTGGCCCAGTGGGGGCATAATAAATAGGTGAATTAAACTCAATTCCTGCCTCCCAGGATATTATATGAGATATATACATAAACTAATATAATACAAGACAGTGTGATAAGAGATATAGGAACCATAAGAATTCAGAACAGGGAGAGATTCCCTCTTGGTCTAGGAGATCAGCAAAGTCTTCATGGTGGAAGTGGCATTTGAATGAGTCCTTGTAGGATGGTCAGGCTTTGACAGATGGAGATAGAAGGAGAACATACTAGTCAGAGGTAGGTTGGGGTTGGATCAGACTTGAGTGTGAGGCTGAGGAGTTTAAACTTTATTAGAGAGGCATGGGCAGTTGCTGAAAATTGTCAGGTAGGGAGTAACAGGATAAAATGGAGCCTTAGAAAGATTGCTTTGGCATCTGGGTGAAGAATGGATTGGAGCCCAGTTAGAAGACAATTATAAAGGTCAAGGTGACACATGATGAAGGCCTGAACTAGAGTAATGACTTTGGGAGTGTGGTGGAGGAGACATATTTGATACTGGGGAGATAAAATTAACAAGACTTGGTGATGGATTTAACATGAAGAACAAAAGAGAAGGGGCCAACAGCTACTCACATGTTCTCAGCCTGAATAACTTGGAGGATGGTGATGCCATTGCCAACATTAGAGAAATCAGGAAGAGGAATGGATTAAGCGGAGTAGATGATGGATGCAGTTTTGTATATGTGAAATTTGAAGTGTTAGTTGGAAAACTGGGTGGAGCTGACAAATGACAAGGGAGAGGAATAGGAAGGAAGAAAGGGAAGGAGGAAGGAAGGCAGGAGGGAAGGCAGGAGGGAAGAAAAAAAGGAAGGAGAGAAAGGAAGAAAAAGGAGGGAGGGAGGAAAGGAAGGAAAGGAGGAAGAGAGGGAAGAAAGGATGAGAGGGAGTAAAGGAAGAAAGGAAGGAAAGGAGGGAGGGAAGGAAGGAAGGAGAGAAAGGAAGAAAAAGGAGGGAGGGAGAAAGGAAGGAAAGGAGGAAGAGAGGGAAGAAAGGAAGGAAAAGGAGGAGGGAGGAAAGAAAGGATGAGAGGGAGTAAAGGAAGAAAGGAAGGAAAGGAGGGAGGGAAGGAAGGAAGGAAGGAAAGGAAGGAGAGAGGGAAGAAATGAAGAAAAAGAGGGAGGGAGGGAAGAAAAGATGGGAGGGAGGGAAGCAAGCAAGGAAGAGAGAAGGAAGGATGGGAGGGTGAGAATAAGGGAGGAAAGGAAGGAAGAAAGGAAGAAAAGCAAAAGAGGGAAGAAAGGAAGGAAAAGAGGTAGGGAAGGAAGAAAGAATGGGAGGGAAGAAAGAAAGGAAGGAAAGGAGGGAGGGAAGGAAGGAAGAAAGGAAGGAAAGGAGGGAGGGAGGGAAGAAAGGAAGGAGAGAGGGAAGAAAGAAGGAAAGGAAAGAATTGGGGAAGGAATTAGGGAAGGAAAGCAGAAAAGCATTTATTAGGCATCTGCTATGTTCTAGGCACTGTGCTAAGCACTTCACAAATATTGTCTCACTGTATCCTCATAATACCTTGGGAGATAGTTGCTATTATCCCCCTTTTGTAGCTGAGGAAACTGAGGCAGACTGAGGTTAAGTGACTTACTCAGAATCACCAGAAGAAAGGTTAAAATCAGTTCCAGATGCAGAGAGGTGAAGGAGAAAAGGTTATTGGATTTGTCTGTTGATCGTTTTTGACCTTGGAGGGAGCAGTAGCGGTAGGGTGGCGAGGACAGAAATCAGTAGTAAGGGGCTGGGTCATGAATTTGTAAGTGAGGAAGAAGTGAAGGAAATGAGTACAGAGTATTTTCTTGAGAAGTTTAGCAGCGAAAGAGAGATAAAAAGTGAAAGGGCCTTTTAAGATGTATCCAAGGGACAAGAACAACTTTTTTTTCTTCAGACAGGGAATGCTGAGCATGTTTGGGGGCCCAGGGGAAGAAACCAGTACAGGAGAAGTGATTGAAGATGCAAGGAATGGGGTTAAAAAATGAAGCAAGGTCTAGTGGGAGATGGGCAGAACTAGGCTGGAGGGCACAGGTGGCAGGGTTAGCATTGGCAAGAAGGGACATTTCTTCCCCAGGAGAGATGAGGAGAAGGAAATGAGAAGCAGAGACAAGATGGGACAGGTTCCCCAGTCCTGGATCTCTGTAAAGTAGGAGGAAACAAGGATGCCTTCTTAGAGCGTAGGAGACAGGGAATTTAAGTGGAACTGGGAATTTATAGTTGGTAGAAAAGTCTTGGACCCACCCCTGTAGAGAATGCAGTAGAGAGTCAATAAGGAATTAATGAAAACCTTACTGAGCAGAAAGAAGCCCATTTAAGCTAAAGAGCTGTGTTGGCCACTGTCAGCTTGCTTTGGGGCCTATATAAACGCTGGGTGGCAGAGTGGATACAGTGCCAGGGCCTGGAGTCAGGAAGATTCATGAGTTCAAATCTGCCTTCAGACACTAATTAGCTGTGTGACCCTGGGCAAGTCACTTAACCCTGTAAAATGAGTTGGAGAAGGAAATTGCAAACCACTCCAGTATTTTTGCCAAGAAAACCCCAAATTGGGCCACAAAGAGTCAGACATAACTAAAAAATAACTGAATAACAACAAGAATAAATAGAGAGGAGGCCAGTTTGGCAAGATCATAGAGTATGTAAAACGACTAATGTGTAATCAACTTGGAAAAAATGGATTGGAGCCTAGTTGTAAAGGGCTTAAATGCCATGCAGAGGAGTTTCTATTTGATCCTGGAAAAAAAGGGAGTCATTCGACCTTATCAAGTAGGAGAATGACATGGTCAGACCTGTACTTTAGGTAGCTGAGTGAAGGGTAGATTGGAAGAGAGAGACTTGAGGCAGGGAGAACAATTAGGAGGCTATTACAATAATCCAAGTGACAGGTGGTGAGGACCTGCACTCAGTGGCCTTATGAGCAGAGAGAACAGATGGATGCAAGAGACATGGGAAGTAGAAGAGACTGTGAGGGGACAGGTAGAGAGAAGTTCTGAGGATGATGCCAAGGGGTGGATCAGGTGCAGAGGAGCACAAAGAGAAAGTGAGCTGTGTTTTGGACATGTTGGGTTTGAGATGCCAGTGTGACATCCAGTTTGAAATATCCACTAGGCAGTAGGAGATGTGGGACTGGAGCTCTATTAAAATAGTGGGGATCGATCTATCAATCTATCTATCTATCTATCTATCTATCTATCTATCTATCTATCTATCTATCTATCCATCTACAATACATCCAGGGAATCTCTCTCTCTCTCTCTCTCTCTCTCTCTCTCTCTCTCTCTCTCTCTGTCTGTCTCTGTCTCCCCCTCCTTCTCTCCCCTAAGAACCATCTACAAAGAGATGAAATTTAAATCCATGAAACTGATGAGGTCACCAGCAGAGAGAGTGTAAAGAGAGAAGAGGTGGTTGGACTAGCTGATCTTCCAGGTTCCTCCATGACCCTTTTGGGACCCAAAGCTAGGCTTCCCCAGATATTGGATATTGTCCATAAGAGTAATGAGCAGCTTTGTCGGGGTTGGTGGGAGGAGAGGTGCAGGAGGCAGATGGTGCTGCTGGTCTGGAGTGCTCAGAATGTGGGAAGGGGGTCATCAGAGGGAAGTCTTCCCATATTCCCTCATCACAAGCCTTGCAGGGGTCCCTCTGGTCCCTCTCCCAAGGCCTGGCTTTCTCCCTCTCCATTCCTAGCCTGCCCAGGAGCAGCAATGAGTGAGAGAAAAGCTCCAAGTTCAACTTGTGGGAGAGCAGGGGAGGAAAGGAAAGGCAAGGATGGATGTGATTGAGAGAGAGAGGGAAGGAAGAGAGGGACAGGATTAGGGAGAAGAGCCTTCTCTGGCTAAAGAGCTCCCCCTCCCCCTTGATTCTATCCCAGCCCAGTCTCCCAGTCCAGCTTTGCCCCCAATCTTCAGGCTTTCTTCTACTGGTGGGTACAGGGGTGATGTCTGGCAGCAAAGTCTTGGGTCCCCTGGGGGCACTATCATATTGGGGAGGACACTTCATAGGCACATATAAGTGGGTGCTCTTGGGGTTGCCATGATACCTGAGGCTGGTGTTTGTGGGCCTAGATGGCATGAGAAGGCGAGTCAGTCTGTTAGGGTATGAGATGGGGTTTGCTTGGCATAGGTTGAATTCATGTGGCAGAAAGAGCTCTGGATTTGGAACAGGAAGAGCTCGGTTTGAGTCCTAACTCACATACTTGCTAGCTATGTGATCTTGACCCAAACCCTGAACTTCCCTGAATCCTCACTTGTCTCATCTGTAAAATAGGGCTAATGATAGAGCCTACCTCACAAGGTTGTTGTGAGGCTTAAATGAGATCATGTGTGGAGTGTTTTGGGCTATATAATGAGTTATGATGCCTATGGTGATTACTTAGTGGGCCTAAGTAGGAATGCCCCTGCCCTGGAGCCCAGCTGCCCTCAGCACAGGGAGTTGGTGGTCACTTTGGTTGGCACCAGAGGGGAAAGAATCATCACACCAGCTGTCCTGTGGCTTTCTCTCACAGGTCACCAAAGGGGAATAATGGGGGGAGGGTGGTTTCTCATTCAGGGGAGGGAAGGCGAATGGGAAGGGAGCACCTGACTCAGTGGATTCCCTGCAGGAGGCAGACTTGAAGCGGACAGTTGAAGAGAGCAGCCGGATCCAGAGAGGGTACGGCCACTACTTTGACCTCACTCTGGTCAATGACAACCTCGAGAGAACCTTCCGAGAGCTTCAGACGGCGATGGAGAAGCTGCGGACAGAACCCCAGTGGGTGCCTGTCAGCTGGGTATACTAACCCTGCCACCCACCTCTGACACAGGGATCCACATCCCCATTCCATAATCCTTAGTCACTCAGACCTCATCCTCTGCCAGGAGGTGTCCTTGGGCATCTTCTGCAGAGGTTCCCATGTCCCTTAGCCCAGCTCCCTCAGGAAGCTGTGTCCACTCCTTGGGATAAAATGCCAGGTGGGCAAGGAAAGCTAGCATCAGCTCTGCAGAAAACACTGTCAGGGTGAGGTATGCTCATGGGGCACCTCAGTGCCCAGGTGCTGCCCACTTTTCCCATGCCTGTTAGCTATCAGCTTAGCTGGTGCCCTCTCCACACCTCTCTATGGGACCAAACTGTGTTTAGGAGGGTGGGGGAAGGGGAGAAGCCCCCTGAGGTGCCCATCAGTCCATAAATGAGAAAAGCTGACACTTGGGTGAGCACCAAGGTCCCCTGCCGCCACTTTATTTAGTCACCTTTTCTCCTCAGGGTTAGCATAGATCTACCCCACCCCAGTGCCCTTCCTACTGACTTAGTCACTTGATCCTGGGATCCAGGGATGGGAGAGTTATTATGTCACCATTTAAATGAGCTGGCCATTTGGTCCAGACCCATCTAGGAGCTAGTTCTGCCTGGTGCTACCCCCAAAGCCTGGGGAAGATTGAAGCACACGAAGGGCCCATGGTGGGAAATGGGCACCATCCTCCTTCTGGACATTCCTGGAGAACAGAATGGAATCTGTATTGGGAAAGATTCCCAGGGCTTAACCTTTCTCCCCATCTCCCCTGCCCTCTCCCAAGTACACAGCAACTCACTGCCGAAGACTCCCCTACTATATCTTCCAGACCCCTCAACACTGTTCTTCCCCAGCCTCACCTGGGAGGTATTGGGATGGGCAGGAAGACCTTGGCCTTGAGAAAGGAAGCTAGACCTCCTATATCGTTTCTGTCGAAGATCTCTATGAACTTGGAAAACTGAGAGGGGCTAGTCAGCCTCATAATCTAGGCCCAGTATTCCTTGTGGTCTCACCAAGGGCTTAACCCCTCCAGGCAATCTGGGACCTGCTTTTTTCCAGCTGACAGGGCCTGGCTCTGGGAGTCCTACTAGGAGGGTGGAGATAGGAGGCCTGAGTGACCTGGAGAGAGTGGGATGGAGAAGGCTAAGTGGGAATGAAGCAAGAAGAATGGAGCTTCTTCCATCCATATCACACTGATCATTGTATGTGAGACCTATGTGTGGGCCTCTCTTTCAGGGAGGAATGGGTTATTCGGCTCCAGAGGAGAAATTTTGGAGTCTGTAATAGGATTGGAGTGGGTGGTCCCTACTTCTCCTTTATATTGTGAAGGTCCTTCTCCTTAAACTAGGGAGAAATCCCACATTCCAGAGTCTTAGAAATTGTCAGATTTTTATCTCCCAACCCCTATTTCTGTGCCCCATCCTCCAAATATGTGAGGGCTCACCATGACCCCTTAATTTAGGAGTTTGGAGTAGTACAGAGGTCAACTTTGTAAAATAGAATTCCCCTTTAAGAAGAGAATGCTGTCTTAGAATTCCCAGGGTCATTTCATCTATTTCCCTGCTTTCCCATAGGATAGCCCTCTCATCCCACAGGAATCAATAGGAAACCTTGCAAGGAAGGAAAAACAAACAAAACACAACAAAACTAGCCTCTCCCTGGTGTCTGTGTTCGAGGCTTCAGTTCTTATCCCAATCTACATCCTTACCCTAACTTGAGGACCTACCTAGTCCTTCTGTGTGTTTAACCTCATCTTTCTTGCTGCAATGTCAGCTCAAGCTGGCTCCTGCACCACTGTGCCCCACCCTACCCCACTGTATTGGGGAGGGAGGGATGTCCCTTTCCAGGAGGCCCAGGAAACTAGTGTTCCCTAATTCCTTCTGAGTGCCCCTTCTTGCTTAGGACCCTGGGAGGGCCAGTGGTTCATTAGCATATTCCTGAGAGGGGGAGGAGAAATATATAAGAGAATTAAGTAAAAAGAGAATAAACAGACTTATTTATTACAAATGGTAGAAATAAATTCATTAATATGTAAATATTGCATGCATAACATAGGCAGATGAAATGTAGAGGGCCCCCCAGCAGCTCTCCTAGCTGTTTTCTTCTCTGCATCTCATTTGTAAAGATCTGCATACACTATGTGTACATTTTTTTCCTTTGTGGGATTTTTTTTTTGCCCTCTAATTTTCTCCCATCATCCCCAGCTGTCTTCTGGTCTAGCCTGCAGAGCCAGTGGGAAGGGGAAAAAGAGATTCCCTATAGCCTGTTGAACTAGTCCTAATTGTGGGAGATAATTTACTCCTCCCCCACCCCCAGGAGGGGTCCAAACAGCCTTTAGCAGAAATTCCCAGCTGAGGACTTCAAGGTCCCTTTCAGCCCTGGTTTCTGTGATCTTATTACAACACTTGCCCTTTCCCCCAGAGCAATCTACATGGGAGGGACAGTCAAGATGCTTCTCTAAGGATGAGAGGGGAGACAGAGAAGTAAAATTGGCCAGGGCCCAGGGAATCTAGCAGAGTGCCCCAACCCTACTGAGCCTAGACCCTTTCCAGCCTGGGGACCCATTCTCAGAGATGCCGCAGGAGTGACCTGTACAAGTCCCAGAATCTACCGCCAGCCCTCTACTTCCCTGAGGGGCCTGGTGGGAGGGAAAGAGCTGGGACATGGGACAATCTAGAAGTTGGGGGCTCTTCAGTTTTTATTTCTGCCTTGATGCTGACAGGGGTATTACCTGCCATTCTGTTTAGGGAAATTCAAGACTAGTCCAGTGGGCAAGTTGATAAAAGAGAATTCCCCTTTAAAAAGAGAATGCTGTCCTTGACAAGGCAGACCCTCTCCCTGGGGAGAGCCTGGAAATTGGTCAGGCCATCTCTATAGGAAAGTGAGGCCTCTTTAGTCTCTGTATAATGGAGCATTATATAAGTGGGAGCTTGGGTGAGTATGAGGGATGGCACTCCTTGAGCCCCCAAATGCCTTTAACCTCGCAGTCACACACAAAGATATACACAATACACACAGTCACCACCCTACACCCCTCTGGAGACACACCAATAATCTTTAGACTCTAGTATAATGGAAAATAGACTAGTTTGAGAATAGTTTGAGTTGTTTCAAGTGCTGCATGGAACTGAAGGGTGTACCTCTTATAGGGACCATTAGTGGAACCAGGCAGCTAGGTGGTGCCATAATGCACAGAGTGCTGGGTCCAGAGTCAGGAAGACTCCTCTTCCTGAGTTCAGATCTGGCCTCAGACACTTATTAACTGTGTGACCCTAGGCAAGTCAGTCATTTGACCCTGTCTGCCTCAGTTTCCTCATCTGTCAAATGAGCTGGAGAGGGAAATGGCAAACCATTCCAGGATCTTTACCAAGAAAACCCCGAATGGGGTCATGAAGAGTTTGACATGACTGAAATAATTCAACAACAACAGAGGCCCTGATATCTGTACGAGCATCCTGGGGAGGATCCCATACTCTTTCTAAGAAGCTGTTCATGAGGTATGGGAACATAACTACCCAATAAAAGAGCACCCTACTGGGCAGCTGGATGATGTAGTGGATAGAGCTCCAGCCTTGGAGTCAGGAGAACCTGAATTTAAATTCAGCCTTAGACACTTGAAGCTTAACTAGCTGTGTGACCTTGGGCAAGTCACTTAACCCCGATTGCCTCACCAAAGGAAAAGAAGGAAAGGAACGGTGCCTTGATGCAGCACATTAGGGTTTGATACCATTCATTTTCCCCTTCCTACCATGATGCCCAAGGGGAGTGCCTTTGCACTCTTCCCCAGTTTCTCCTCACCCCCTTCCCCTTCCTGCCCCACTCCTGCACTGTTGGTAATATCCAACCAGTCAGACTGCCTACTACCTCCATTCCCTTCCTGGGGACTAAGCATTCCTTGGGAAAAGGTGAAGAGGAGGGGAGGTCACCAGGTTGGGCAGGGGTGTGTGTGTGTGTGTGTGTGTGTGTGTGTGTGTGTGTGTGTGTGTGTGTGTATTTATGTATAGGCTATCTGAAGAACTTTCAGAATAATGAAGTCACATCCCACTCCCAGCTTCTTATTCTTAGCCTCTGACTACCTTATTCCTCAACTCTAGCCAACATTTCCCATTCCTAGTCTCTCTATCTCTCCACCTTTCTGTCTCTGTCTGTCTCTCAGTCTCTGTTCTCTTCTCTTTCATTCTCCTTTTATTACTTTGACTGTATTTTCCCACAAAGGCCTCTTTATGATATGTCCAAGATCAGGTAAGACAAAGGCAAGCCCCTTCCAGAGTGATGGAGAGAAGGAAACATGCTCAGAGTCCAAGGTGACAGATGAAATGTGACATCAGATAATCCAGAACCAGTTTCTGTTTGGCTAGGGAGTAGCGTGATCACGTTCACTCTTCTCCTTTTAGCCCCACCAACTCAGAATTCTCTTGGTAACTCTTGTTCAGTCATGCCCGACCCTTCCTGACCTTGTGGACTATAGCACCCCAGTATTGTCCATTGCCATTTCTTGGCAAAAATACTGGAATGGCTCACCATTTTCTTCTCCAGTGAATTAAGGCAAACAGAGGTTGTAACTTGCCCAGGGTCACACAGCTAGTAAGTATATGAGGCTGAATTTGTACTCAAGTCTTCCTGACTCTAAGCCTGGCACCCTATCCACTGAGCCACTTAGCTGCCCTGGAGGTAGGTGCTATTATTATCCCCATTTTACAGTTGAGGAAACTGAGTCTAGGTGTAGTCTATCCACCGCACCATCTAGCTGCCTCTAAATCACTTAATCTCTCTGGACCTCAGTTTTCCCATCTGTGTAATGGCCCTAGATGACCTCTAAGGAAGGGACTATTCTAAATCTATAATCCACATAACACCTCTGTGAGGTAGATGTTGCATTTTACTGGTAAGGAAAATGGGGATCAGTGAAATTAGGAAATTTGCCCATGGACACAAAGCTAGGTATTCAAATGCAAGTCTCCTAAAGCCAAAGCTGGCACTCTTCCCACAACAGTTTATTACTTTCCCTCATGCCACCAACCTGTTGTGTGATACTAGACAAGTCACTTGGGCAGCAAGGTGGCACGGTGGCTAGAGAGCTGACCTTGAATCCTATCTCAGATACTTACTGGCTCTCCATGCTGGTCTTGAGCTCACAACCCAGAGATCTAACGTTCACTCTTCTCTATCCCTGCCTTGTCTGATGTTGGGCCCCTCGGTCACCAGGGTGGGCCTGTGCCTCTTTTCCAGTGAGGCAAGGGGTAGATCTGGATCTATCCATTAGTTTGGGGGAAAGCATTCTTTTGGGGCCTTATGGACCCTTTGCTGCATTCACGCCATAGACCACAAGACTTGACACTGAGTCTTGAAGAATGGCGAATTTTAGGAGAGAGATGTAGACTCTAGAGAGGCACCCTGGTGCAAGGGCTGTATCTGAGCTAGGGGTACATACTGATTGACTCTTCCCAAGTCTAGGGAGTTGGTGGGACTGTGAGAAAGTCACAGATGAGAAGTCCTTGAAAAGTTCAGAGTCTGGATCACTCTGGAAACAAGCCATAATGAAGACCTAGGCAGATGACTGGGGATGTTGGGAAGGCCAGATTCAAGGCTCTGAAAGAGAAGGAGCAGCAAAAGCAGGGTTCACCAGAAAGTCCTCAAAGGGACTGCTCAGGAGTGAGGTCCACGGTTAGAGCTGCCAGGTGGTACCAGGCAAGAGAACAGGCTGATGAGCTAGAGCTAGACAGTCATCTCTGCTAGTTATGACTTAGGTGACCTTGGGCAAGTCCATTCAAGTCCATAGCACCTCTCTGGGATTCAGTTTCCTCATTTGTAAAATGAGGGGATTGGACACATTTAAAAGCATTAATCTGAGAAGAAGTCCATAGTCGTCACCAGACAACCAGAGGGGGTCTGACATAAAAAAGATTTTTTGTTTTCAGTTATTTCAGTTGTGTCTGACTCTTTGTAACCCCATCTGGGGTTTTCTTGGCAAAGATACTGGAGAGGTTTGCCATTTGCTTTTCCGGTTCATCTTATAGATGAGGAAACTGAGGCAAACAGGATTAAATTACTTGCCCAGGGTTACACAGATAGTGGTTTGCCATTTGCACAACCACAGATAGTGGTTGCCATCTCTTGCTCATGTTACAGATGAGGAAACTGAGGCAAACAGGATTATGTGACTTGCCAAAAGTCACACAGCTAATGATTTGCCATTTCCTTCTCCAGCTCATTTTAGAGATAAGGAAACTTAAACAAATAGGGTTAAGTGACTTACCCAAAGTCACGCAGCTAGTAAGTGTCTGAGGCCAGATTTGAACTCAGGAAGATGAATCTTCCTGACTCCAGGCCTAGCATTCTATCCATTGTGCCACCTAGCTGCCCCCAAAAATGTTAAGAACCCCTTTAAAAGGCTCCTGACTCCATTCTCTTTGTTCTCCATGGCAAAGGCCAAATTAGGCTATTTATAATGTCCTTGGTGACATTACTTTGTGGTATATTTATACTATATAGATCACCTTTGAACTACCTATTCTTGTATACTTGGGTTTTTTTCCCTTAAAGATAAAGCGTCCAAAACCCTAAGGAATGACTTGGGTTGAAATACTGTTTTATTTGGTGATTATCATTATTTTTTATTTTTAATTAATTTATTTTGAATTATCAACAATCACTTCCATAAGCTTTTGAGTTTTAAATTTTTCTTCCCCTCCCTCCTCACCTCCCTCCTCAAGACGGCGCACAATCTGATATGGCTACACGTATACATTCCTATTAAACATATTTTCACATTAGTGATGTTGTAAGGAAGAATTAGAACCAATAGGAGGACGCACCAGAAAAAGGAAACAAAAGCAACAGAAGAAAAAAAGTAGCAAATAGTATGCTTCAATCTGCATTCAAACTCTATAGTTCTTTCTTTAGATGTGGATAGCACTTTTCATCATGAAGCCTTCAGAGATGTCTTAGATACTTGTATTGCTGAGAAGGGCTAAGTCTATCAATATTAGTCATCGCACAACATGGCTGCTACTCTGTACAATGTTCTCCTGATTCTGCTCACTTCTTCAGCGATTATTTTCAAAGACAAAGAAGGATCTGTGATGTCAATCAGTCAACAAGCATTTCTGAAGGCTTACTAAGTGCCAGGCACTGTGCTAAGTGCTAGGGATGCAAATAAAAGCAGAATCCCTGTCCTCTGGGAGCTTACATTCTAACAGAGGAAGACAGCATATAAAAAGAATCTGAAAAGGGAAGGGAGGGGAGGATGGGATGAAGGTGCTCAACATGGAGGCCTTTGGAGTTCTGAGTGCAGCCTGAAGAGGAATGAGACATGACTGGCCTGGGCACCCTCCTTAAATGGAAGTTGTAATTTTGTCAGCATGAGGAAATGCAGATTGCAATTAGTCTGCAGCCTAGTAGATAAATCTTGGGGAGTTAGTAGCCTGAGGCATGAAGAAATGAAGTGATTTGTTGGGAGTCACATAGCTGCTCCAGGCTTACCATTCCTTCTATTCTCCACAACACCCTGCCTCGGTGTGATGATAATAGCTCAGGTTTATTTAAAGCTCTAAGGTTTATGAAGCCCTTTACATGCATTGTTTCATTTGATCTTCACAACAAGATGAGGTAGATGAGTGCTATTATTATCATTCCTATTTTACAGATGGGGAAACAGACTCAGGGAGATTAAGGAAATTTTCCAGGATCATGGTGCTTGAGGCAGAACTCAAACCCAAGTCTTTATGATTTCAGGTCCAGTACTCTATGTCCTGGGTGGCTAGGTGGTAAAGCAGATAGAGTGCTGGGTCTGAACTTAAGAACGCTCATCTTCCTGAATTCAAATATGACCTCAGACACTAGCTGTGTGACCTTGGGCAAGTCACGTAACCCTGTTTGCCTCAGTTTCCTCATCTGTAAAATGAGCTGGGGAAGGAGATGGCAAACCACTCTGGTATCTTTGCCAAGAAAACCCCAAATAGGGCCACAAAAAGTCACAAACAATTGAAATGACTGAACAACAATAACAACTGAAGCCTAGAGAGATTAAATGGCTTTTCTCCAACCTCATTGGCCAAGAAGTATCAGAACTGGGACTCAAACCTCTCTCTTCTAACTCCCAGTCCAGATCCCTTTCTCCTGTACCATATTACACAGATGGTCTTAAGTCATAACCTTCTCATCTTATTGAACCAGGCTTTGTGGGCAAAGTATTCCCATTCTATTGTCTCTTTCCCAGGAACTTTTCAGCTATTAAGAGTCATTTCCTGATGTTTTCCTCCACCTCCTCCACTCCCACCTACCCAGTGAGCCAATCCTTATGTAACTAGGGGCTCAAACCTCATTTGTATAAGACCCTCCTCATTGATGGAGATGGATTCCTTAGTGCTCTGCATCCGGGCATCAATCTCCACTAAGAAGGAGGGTCTTATGCAAATATGCTTTCAGTCCCTGGTTACAGTCGTAACAGAAAAGAGCAGACAGAGAAGCAAAAACAGTTGAGAAAGTGAAGATATTTGACCATGAACATTCTATACTCAGTCCCCTGGCTCTCTGATGAAAGGATGGAATATTGACTAGGGCAGCTAGGTGGTGCAGTGGATAGAATTTTGGACTCAGAGTCACGATAGCCTGGATTCAAATCCTGCCTCAAATATTACTAGCTGTGTGACCCTGGATAAGTCACTTAGTTTCCAAGCCTCAGTTTTCTCATTTGTAAAATTAGCATAAAAAACGCCTATCTCTATTATTTTGAGGATCAAAAGAATAATAGCAAAACAAATATGTGAATTTGTAAAAAATAATATAATTCAAGCACTCTTCAGACCTTAAAGTGCTACATAAATGATAGCTACTATCATTCTCTCTTCTCAGGGGCCGCTATCGTTTGTTACAATTACATGATGTTTATCTTGGTTTTAACGTTCTTTTCGTTAACATTAACATAGTCATTGTGTATATTGTTTTCCTCACTCAGTCCATACAATTCTTTGTGTTTCCTTGAATTCTGCATATTCATAGTTTCTTATAGCAAAATAATATTCCATTACATTCATACGCCACACTTGGTTAAGCCATTCCTTGACTAATGGTCATTTACTTTGTTTTCAGTTTTATTGCTACTACAAAAAGCACTGCTATGAAATTTTGGGGATGTATGGGGACCTTTCTTCCTGTCTCTGGTTTACTCAGGGAGATGAATGAGCAATTGAGTCACCTTCCTATTATGATTCCAAATTGTTTTCCGGAACAATTGAATCAGTTCACAGCTCTACCAAGAATATATTACTATGCCCATTTTCCCACAGTACTTCCAACATGGACAATATCTATCCATCTTCTGTCTGTTCCAGTTTTATGGGTTTGAGGTGAGACTTTAGGGTTTTCATTTGCATTGAATATTGGCCTTTGCTTAATACATTTTGTAAATATTTAAATAGGGTTCTGAGATGGAATGATCCTGGGGGTGCTCCAACCTTGAGGTGTAACCACTGCACATTAGAAAATGAACTGAATCTTTTTGTTCCCAGCCTCACCAGCAATTTGCCAAGCTTGAGGGGCTATTTTAGGACAGTTATGTTTGCTATTCCACGCTCCCAAGAAAGCCCTTTACAGACCAGATCTCCCAGGATAGATGAAGCCCATTGGACCCAACGTGGAACCAAATGTTTTCATCCAGTGTACAGATACTGCTTTTTCATGGGGGCAGTGTAAGAATACTACATTTGGAGTCAGAGAATTTGTAGTTGCATTACCAGCTCTGCTACTTACTATCTCTGTGACTTCAGGCAAATCATTTACCTTTTGGACTTCAGTTTCCTTATCTAAAAATGAGGTAGTTGGACTAAATTAGGGATTCTTAACCTGGAGCCTGTGAGCTTGTTTTTTTGTTTTTTGTTTCTAAATTCTGGTAACTGTGTTTCAATGTTTCCTGTGAATCCTATGTTTTTATTTTATGCATTTAAAAACATCATTCTGAGGAAGAGTCCATAGGCTTCATCAGACTGCCAAGGGGTCTATGCCAAAGGAAAAAGAAAAAAGAGGTTAGGAATCTCTGGACAAAATGATCTTCATGGTTCCCTTCTAGCTCTAAATTCTATAATTTAATGTATAACTTGATCTATTCTTATTGTCTGCAGCTACAGTACCATCTGGGTCCTTGATCTTATTCACTGTTAATTTCTCAAATTCCCAGAAAGTTTTCTTCTTCACTGTTAATTTCTCAAATTCCCAGAGAGTTTTGGGGTTGTCCATTATAAACACTGGGGTGGAGTGTGACCTGTTTTGATGACCTATTCATAATTTTTGAGGTGTTGAGGATTCTCTTTATACACAACTAAATCAAGTTAAATAGCATTTATTGTTTACTATGTGCCTGACTGTGCTAAATTGGTGGTGGGGTGGGGTGAGGTGGGCAGGAATACAAATACAAGGAGAATGACACTTCCAGCCCTCAAGAAGCTTATAATAATAAAAGGAAGCTGCAAAGTTCAGGGGGGTGACAGGGAAGAGATGGAGGGAGCATTGGAGAGATAAGCCAAGAAAATCAGAAATGCAGGTTGGAGAAGAATGAAGGCTCAGCTGACCTGGGTCTCCTCCTTAAAATGGAA